TATCTGCCGATACCGATATGAATCCGATATAGTGTTTTTTAGTCAACAAAACTGTTTTTTAAATATCTTGCTGCATTTTGTATAAGTTCATACTCAAGTTTAAAACAACAACTACACTAAAGCTATTCTGTTATACCTGTATGCAAAAAAAAAATATTTCATAGTTCAGCAATACTGATCAATCTAATAAACTTGAACCTACACCATCCTCCCTATTCTGGTATTTTAAAGAGTACTTAGCATAAATATTAAGCAACCTAACTAATAGGGTTCCAACTCCCAGCAACAACAAAAATAAATAAATAAAAAATAGGGAACCACCCCTCACGCTCCACCTCATGATGCTTAATCGACGTAATCAACCTTAATTTGATGCAGTGTGAAAAAAAAGGCACAGAAATCAATTATTTTTCAAGAAATATTAAATAGATTCAACATCTTTCTTCAACAAAATTGCAGACTGCACAGATGGTACCTTCCCAAAGGAAAAAGTACTATAGCTTACTAGGGTATTTATATTAGACTTAATAGTCACTATATACAGTAATTGACTTCTATTCATTTTACATCAAATTAAAACTTTGGGTGTCAGATAATTATTTATTAAAAGCTAGACATTTTAAATGAGAATAAGAAAGAAAAGTATGTCTTTGTGCCCCCTTTTCCCTGTTAATGCCCTATCGGCCCCCCTGGCTAAACTTTGCTAGATCCGCCCCTGCACAGTTACCAGCCGTCAGCTACGTAGAAAAAGATCCTCGAGTAGAAAGTAATATTAAATACATTCTAACAACAGCTGATCAAGCTTAAACGTGCTGCTGTTGTTCAGCCGCTGGTTTCCTCTTTCTGGTGCAAAGTGGGCCAAAAACAAACAAGAGACACTGACTCGCACAGAAAAGCCGATCAGCTGATCATTAAGCAGTTTCATCATTGAAGTAGCAGCAAGAAGAGGCAGTCGCTTGTTAAGCTTAACGCAGGAATGCTTTACAAACATTCAGAGATGGACTTACACACTTGCTTTACTTCTCTCGGGATAACTTTGTCGGAGATGAAATGCCGGGTTGCTAGCGAAGCTCCAAATGCTATCCAGACCACCGACAGGTCCCGCATGCCACAGCCGCTCTATCACGTGATGCATACTGCTAACGTTCTGAGGTGAGTTATGGCGTGTTGCAAGTTTTGTGAGGTGCTTTCGTGATATTTAATGGATCGGATTACATTTTTAATTTTTCTCCGATATCCGATCCAGTAATTTAGGTCAGTATCGGACCGATACGTAATATAGGATCGGTCCATCTCTATTTGTAACCTGTGATGTAGCGTATACTTAGGGTACAGATTGTTAATGTCACAACATTCCATATATGCAGAATCTGCAAATATCCATTATGCATGTTTCCAGCACCTTTTTGAATCTCTGTTATAGAAAATTGAGAGAGTTCTGAAAGCAGTGTACCTACTAATTATTTTTTACTATGTAGATAAGCTAGCTAAAGTCTGATTTTTCATTTATTCCAAATCGGTTCAGGTGTGTGTTGCAATCATACTCACATGTTGGTGTGAAAGCCTGAGACACCTAGATGTGAGTTTGTCATCTGGATGTATTAGTCACCCAATTTCATCTGTCAGAAATTTTGTAGCCAGAAGGAGACTCAGTAGGTGTATACTGTCCTTCTAGCAGACACAATGTACCTGACAAGCCGCAACCAGTGGGACGCTGAATAAACATTGACGGGAGGCTAGGAAGAAGTGTCTCGCACAAATTCCCACTGCTCTCAACTCTCACGGGCCACATTGAGGTAGATTGTAGGTGGATGTGATTAGGGCTGGGCCATATTATACCGTTCACGGTAATACCGGTATAATGTTAGGCAACGATAGGAAAATGAAATATCGCGATAGAATGGGAGTAAAACGCGCATGCGCAGTGCCTTTGTTTTCATACGCACATGGCCGATTGTTGAGTGAAACAGATGAACCAGAATTGGTTTGTAAAAATGGTGCAACTTCAGTGATGTGGAACTGGTTTGGTGTTTGTCCGTCAGATACACAACAAAGCACATTTTTTTGCAGAACATGCAAGTGGCCGTTGTTATTGTCATATTTGTCGGACTAAGATGCTCTTAAATCTGGGAGTAATCTGGGTCCTAAACTCCGTATTCTTCAGGTCAAACAACACTGCAGCATCACTTAGAGTTAAAAACTGTCTAAATTCTTTCATCTTTAATAAAACGATCAGCATTGCTGCTTTACCAGGTGTAACTATAAAGTTTAACTTCCAGGCATCCATGAAAACAAAAGTTATTACATTTAACGGAGTTAGAAGTTAGCAGGAAGCTAGCGGAAGTTAGCTCGCTAGTTTCGCTAGTTACCTAAGCATGATATAGCATGTTCTGATGGAGAGATTTCTGAAAAAAATCAAACGTACAGCTCTGCTATCACTTCCAACATAAATGAAGACAGGAAACTAAACAGCAGTGACGTTTGTAGGGTTACTGAAGTTGGGCTAGCTGGTATATAATGATGTGCTACGTGATCGCTAGCGACACAGCTATGTTAGCATAACATAAACAGTGAAGCTGGAGGACGAACACTAACACTTTTCCACTTATAAAAGTTAACGTGAAGGTTCTTCATGATTAGAGACAAATGCAATCGCATGGCAGGATGCTGTAAACGGACCAAACTTCAGTCAGGAGAACAACTGAGATAATCCATCCACAATACGAGGTTAGTCATTAATATACTGCAACAACATGGGAATAGAGCAGCTGCCAGAGAATTCAACATTAATGAATCAATGGTACAGAAGTGGAGGAAGCAAGAAGAATGAGTTTAATAAAGTTTGATTTATCTGACTGCTTTGTTTCGCTTAATGTGCCTTATAATCCCGTGCACCTTATGGTGCGAAAAATACGTACTGCACACTGCAGTTTAATGTTGCAAAGCACCTCTTTTTAACTTCAGTGGATATTATACATGGTTATGCTCAGGATATGTCAGCCCATTTCTACTGGAAATGCCTTTTGGTTAAACTTTCAGCAAGGAATTTGCATTTGCACTGTTACATTTTTATAAAGCTTTAATGTACATAAAAACCAGCTTCTTGTTTAAGTGAAAATAAATGGAAGGTTGTCTTTTTGCGCTAGTAATGTTGTGGAGTTGTATTTTGTCTCGCATCAATTATATCGTCGGTTATATCGTTATCGCAAATTTTCAAATATATATCGTGATAAATATTTTTGGCCATATCGCCCTGCTCTAGCTGTGATTACGTTCAAGTTATAAAAATAAATGCATTAGACTTTGGTGAATTTGTTACCTCATAATGAAACAAATTGATTCAGCAAGTCCTTTCTGTGTGAACTGAAAGTTGTCATCCATAAAAGATGATTCAAGCTGCAAGTGAGAGAGATTGACTTTAACGTCTTCTGACTGTTCACTGGCATTGGCAGTAAGACAAGAAATGCAATGACCAGTAGTCATACCATTCAAAGGAACAGTTAGAAATGAGCAGTGACATGTCGGAAATAAGGTGGGTATGAGTCACGCACACCCTAACAAAAGAATGCGCTTTTGGCAGAAATGCAGTGAACATACAGGTGTTCTTGAAATACAAAGAGTATAGGTGGTGTTATGTTGTCTAGCAGCATGTCCAACCTTACAAACAGCAATGAGAATTGGTTGGTTGGACAAATATAGGTGATAGGTGGTTGGCGAGAAACACCTAATACATAATTATGAATGGTAAATAGCAATACATGGTGTGTCTTTTTTGTAGTGCTGAGGTACGGTTGTACACAGGCACCGATTGAGTTCCCATCAGTTTCTCTAGCCTGTTGTTCAGGCTAAACCAGGGCAAATATCAAAGTTATTTTGGTCAGCTTTGTCTTTTTTTTTTTAAAACATGTATATGCACAGACATTGGAAATCCAACTTACAGACCGGTGAAACCAGTGTACTTTTATTGTCAGGCCCAACCCTGGATTTGTACAAGGAAGGGCATCTGGCTTGAAAAGGACATCAACTTTGCGAAATCAGACATGCAGGTCATCAGATTTCCAGATCAGTCAGGGCCCGGGTTAACTACAGCTTATTAGATTTTAAATTAAAGGAACATAGCTTTTCATTCAAGTAGTTTTCCATATTCTTTATTCATAATTCACTTGAATATACTTAAACAAATTTAGACTTGCTGAAAGGTGGAATAATCTCATTACAACAAAACAGAATCAGTCTCAATAATCTGTTTATCTTGATGTTTCTTTTTTATTAATCTGTGGAAGCTAAAATTGTAATTGCAGTTAAAATTTGATAATGCACAGCCCTGCACATACATGCCGTATATAGTGCCCTCCGTCATCCTTTTGTCTCCTGTAGTATCAGCTTGTACAATTTGGTTAACTAAATCTGAGGCTCATGTGGTTTGGCATTAGTATAGCGAGTGAGCTGCAGCTGAGCAGCACAGTGGGTGGGTTGTGAGGATGCTGTCAGCCCTGACACTTGAACTGCTGGGCCAGCAGCATCCTCACTTGAGCAGATCTACACCCGCTGTCACGACTGCTGCACTATCAGCTGGTGATTGGCCAGCAGACACCCCCACAACTGCTTCTCTGAATACCTGATAAGGGATAGAGGTCATCTGAGAAGTCACACTTATTGCCACAACATTTTGGGAGAAGTGGTGAATCACATGCACAATGGTACAGATTGTTTTTTCTTCTCACTGCAGTGGAGTTGCAAGAGAAAGACAGTAATGATATGAAGAGGTTGTAGTGTAGTGCACTGTGCAGTTTATTTTTGTTGTCAAGCTCTAATGTACCTTTGTGGGTGGCTTTAGAAGTACTGGTACACTTCTCATGTGTTGTACTGCTGTCAAACACACTTATGCTAACCTAACACAGCTGTCATGTTTCTTCTTTATTCCCTTCTAATTTATTTTTGAATTCCAGAGATAGATGTGAATGATTCAGCACATTTTCTTTCTGTTTTTGTCATTTCAGGTGAAGGCACGAGGGACACTTTGTCTGTCTCTATCTACCTGTCCCTGGTGGTGTCTTTGATGGTGATTGTGTCCTTGGTGGTGGTGCTAGTGAACTGTGTGACCTGCTGCAAGGAAAGGGAGATCAACTTCAAGGTGAGAGTTTTGGCTGGCAGGTAGCCAGACACAAGTGAGTTTCATTTCCTTCATGCAGACTTGACTTGATGAAAACACAGTGGGTGAATGTATAATGTAATGGGCTGTGTGTAAATTTAGTCTAAAAGAGAGTCAGCGTTTTTTGTTTGGGTTTTTTTTTTTGTTGTCATGCCGTCAAATTTATACATGGCATATGTTTGTGTGGACGTAGGAGTTTGAAGATCACTTTGATGATGAGATCGACTTCACTCCGCCAGCAGAGGACACCCCTTCTATGCAGTCCCCAGCTGAGGTCTATACCCTTGCTGTGTCTCCTGTGCCCCTGCCTGGCCCGCCACACCTCCAACCTCCTGCCCGCATCACAGGTCTGATACATACACATTCACAGAATCATGTTGTATAAATAAACTTGGCACAAACACTAAGGAAATGTGTGTATCTTCCATGATTTCTTTGTTGTAACAGTGCTTTTAGGCAATAAGTCTTATAGTGTTGGAAAGCCTGGTTATTTCCCTTAAATAGTGCCACAAGGAAAATGCATTTGTGGGTTGAGCAGCAGAGTTGAGTTTATGGGTTGCGCCCATGAGAAGCTTACAAAATCTTTTCTCCCAGTGCCAGACTGTTTGTTCTGCTATTGATGGTTTGGTTTGGTTTAGTTTAATTTACTGGACTGGATGATTGAAGTCTGAAGAAACTGCCAATGGCTGGCAGTGAATGAGTTAATAATTTATTTGTCTAATAAACGGGGGCCCCAGTAGCTTGTGGGTGAATGATGCACAGCCACAACAGCAGTACTCAACTCTGCTGCTCAACCCACAAATGCATTTTATTTACAAATTTTACACCATTTAAGCAGAAATAAACAGGCCTTCCAACGGTAGTTAAAACAAAGAAATGATCAAACACAAATTTCCTTACTTTTGTGTGCTTAGCTTATGTCATGAAATACGGTTGTCCATTAAAATATGTTTGTTTGCACTTTGTAGTAAAAAAATGTTCTATTAACACCAGAGGTGGTGGAAATCCACCTGTAGACTGTTTGGTCCCCACCATTAAATAAATATTGAGGGTAGAAATATTAGTACCCCAAAACGTTCTCTGTGGAAAAAACTAAACAAAAATGGGATTTCTTTGGCAAATGTGATCACTGTGTCACAACAGTTCACATAAATTTGAGAACAGTACAGGGATGGAAGGGTGTATCTTAAAAAAGTTGTCACATTTTTTATTGAAAATGTCATACCTAGTACCCATAAACAGTGACTATGAAATACTTGTTCAGGGCTCTAGACTAACTTTTTTGCCATGGGCGTACCGGTACGCCTAACTTTAAAAAGTTAGGCGTACTGGCACAAAAGTTAGGCGCACACACATTTTATAATAATTTATATAATATAATGTGTTTTTCTGGGTACACTGTGCTTTTTCAGCATTCAAAGATTGATGACACCGTGTCAGAGCACTGGCTATGAATTTCAGAAGGATCAGGCCTTAACTTAACGAAAAGTTAGCAATAGTTCTTTTCCTAGTACAGCTACATCCACTTCTGTTGTGCCTAGGCTGCTCACTAGGGCTGGGTATCATCACTGATTTCTATAATCCATTTGATTCCGGTTTTCAAAGTCCCGATTCGATTCAACTTAGCCTCAGACAGTCAGAAATATTATAATTCTGATCATTTATCAGTACTGACTTCATCAGAATTGTGAACATCACAGCAGATGCCTTTGTGTGAAAGTAACTGAGAATAAAACACAGAAAAACATGAAGGAGATTTTCCTGGTCTGGCTTTTTATAGCAGATAACCTTAAAAATATTCTACAATGTTCTGCATATAAAGTTAAAATTTCTTCAGTATTGAATAACAGAAAAATAGGCTTTCTTGTCCGAGGTCATTTAAGTGAAAAAAGAAAAAGAAAAGAAGACAGCAGCCACAGCGCTGTAAACAACGGTAGACTGGTGGGTAATAAGCGAATGAATAGTACAGAAAACAGAGATTTGAGACGGGAAACTGTTCTTGAAGTACAGAGAGAGAGAGAGCTGTGCATGAAGTGTGATTTTAATAGTCGTGGAAGCAAAACAGCAAAATTCATGACGACATTGATCAAATGTGAAGCGCAGTTTGCTGCTTCTTTTGCTGCTGGCTCGGTGAATTTTGGTTGGAGAGAGACAAAACCTGCAGCTCAGAATCAGCGCAAAAAGACGTAAACACAGCGCGGACCGGACGCATCAGGATCGCTGAGCTCCGACAGCGTGTCCGTCTACGGGCCGTCGGGCGAGAAAGCCGAGAAAGACAAAGCTGATTCTGATGCGTCGAGTCCGTTCTGTGTTTACGTCTTTGTGTGGAGTCCGTGTACCTGCTCTCATCTGCTTTTTGGTTGTTGTTGAAATGGTTTTGTGAGCTTTAATCTGAGAATCTGGCATTTCTGGCAAAACACAATTATATTTAAAAGTCAATTCAGGATTTAATGAATTGATATCGCTTTATTCAAGCTACTCACCTCCCTCTATCCACCTGCACTTTCAACTGGACCACGGCCAATCAGAGAGGTCCCGCCCCTTAATATCTCTGATTGGTTTAGTCCACGATAGGGGCATAATGTCTGTCTGTTGTTGACCACAGGGAAGGTTGCAGATTTTTTTTTTTTTTATTGTTACACGAACAGTTGGTTGCACAGGTGCAACCAAATTTTTATTTATTTTTTTAGTCGCACCACTGAAAAATTTGGTCGCATTTGCGACCAAATTGGTCGCACTCTAGAGCCCTGTTGTTCATATCCACACACGGTATGTTAAACTAGTTAGTAACTTAATGTAAAGAAGTTGATGTACTTTCTGTTTAGGTGTAGTTAGCTACACATGCTGCATACAGTGCTTAGTGCTAGTCATTAGACAGTTTTTTTTTTTTTTTTTTTTTTGTTATTTTAATGCAGTTTTATTGTTGTTGTAATTTCAATGTGTTTGTCTGAAACAGGTTTCTCTTGTAAATGAGACATTGAGCCTTAATGGGACTACCTGTATAAATAAAGGTTAAGTTAAAAAATTAAATATTTCAGATAGTTTGTTAAGAAGACCATCTCTGACTCAACTATGTGACAACACAATTTCTCAATTTAATTTCACTGTAGTGTTTTCTATTTTGAAGTTGTTGTTTTATTAAGTGGTTCAGATGTAACTTGTGATGCGTCGGTTGGGGCAGTCTTAATAACAGTGATGGGTATTTGGTGTCACAGAGGGATCAACAGGCTTCCAGGTCGTGCGCCACAGTCTGAGCTACATCCAAGAGATCGGCAACGGCTGGTTTGGCCAGGTAAGATAGTTTTTCTTTAATTATCTTCTTCACAAAATTGCATCCACACAAAAGACAAAGAGCTAAATACTCATCTGAAAAATTCATTTAACAAGATGGCAAGCTGTCACTTGTGATTTAATCATTGAATCACAAGTGACAATCATTAATCAATATCGCTACAACCAGTGACTACAGTGGCTTGCAAAAGTATTCGGCCCCCTTGAACTTTTCCACATTTTGTCACATTACAGCCACAAACATGCATCAATTTTATTGGAATTCCACGTGAAAGACCAACACAAAGTGGTGTACACGTGAGAAGTGGAATGAAAATCATACATGATTCCAAACATTTTTTACAAATAAATAACTGCAAAGTCGGGTGTGCGTAATTATTCAGCCCCCTGAGTCAATACTTTGTAGAACCACCTTTTGCTGCAATTACAGCTGCCAGTCTTTTAGGGTTTGTCTCTACCAGCTTTGCACATCTAGAGACTGAAATTCTTGCCCATTCTTCTTTGCAAAACAGCTCCAGCTCAGTCAGATTAGATTGCGAATACTTTTGCAAGCCACTGTAGTATATTGTGTCAAGTAATCCTTACCTCTCAAGGAAAAAAATGACACCTTTTCCTCTGTTAATCAAATCTTTTTCTTTTTCTCTGCAGTTAGTGGTGCTCCTTGAAATCTTAGAAAAAAACATCTAGACTTGGGTGGTGGTGATGAATCTTTGTTTTCTTTTTGTTTAGCGTGACGTGTTCTTTCTGTTGTATTAACAGGTCCTGTTGAGTGATATCTACACAGACCCAGGGACAAGAGTGGTGGTCAAGGAGTTGAAAGCTAATGCAAGTGCCAAGGAGCAGAATGACTTCCTGCAGCAAGGGGATCCATACAGGTAAAAACTGATGTTTCTCTCTTTGAGAGCACCCCATTTGCAGAGAGCTGTTATTGTTTTTCAGAAGGCTATGGTTAGGGTCATCAACTTATCAAAGACTGTTTTGTTTACTGCACCCGGAGCATCTTTCCTCTTACTTATTGCATTAGTTATTACAATGTATAGTTTGCTTATTTTAAACTTTTTTGGTAACCTGATGGTCATCAAATCAATGACCTGTTATGTCAATTTGGTTTTCAGAGTTTTGCAGCACCCAAACATACTCCACTGCCTTGGACAGTGTGTTGAGGCAATTCCCTTCCTACTGGTTTTTGAATACTGTGAAATGGTAAGTAACTATATGCTTTTTAAAATACACCAGTACAGGTATTATGTCAATAATACCATATGTACATGGGAATTAAATTAGGCTGTTGTCAATCTACCATCTACAGTCCTTGTCCAAGAATTTTCAGTGATTGTGAAGTGGCTGTGCTTATGGTGTTTTAGCCACCACTCACCTAGAAATTTGTATTCATTGAGGAAATTGAGGAGTTTGAGAATTAGCTCATACACAGGTATTTAAAAGATAGTACTCAAAAACTGTTTATCAACTTGTGATATGTGAGAGATGCTCAAATTTCGCAAGAAACTGGTTCTTAGCAACTACTAAATATAGTAGTGAGACTACCCGGTCTAGGTGTGTCTTTAGTCACCAGACCTACTCTGGAGTGATAAGACCAGATAGAGACACTATTATGAACTTGGCAAACTGAGCTTTTTTTCTGCGATATGACACATTGCACTTGTGATTTGGATAACTATATCAGGGATATTCCTGGCAACTAATTTCTTAGTTGCCTAACAGATTGTTCTAAAACTAAGAAACTCAGATATTAATGTAAATTTAATTTAATGGGCATTGTCAAAATCCATATTCTGCTTAAATGCATGGTACTTTGCGTTATGCACTATGAACCTGTGTTATACTCCAAACAGATAAGAAAGACGAAAAACACTTAAACTAACCGGCTCAAACTGGCTTCTTTCGATGTGTAGGAGCTCTACTCTGAGCCCCTCCTGAATGACTGAACTCCTTACAATATCGCTAAGGGAGAGCCCATCCACGTTTTGGAGAAAGCTGAGTTCCGCCGCTTGTATCTATGATCTCATTCTAGTAGTTTTAACATAAAGATCAGGCCTAGATTAACACATTTATAGTATTTCTCAACAACGATGGCAGATGACTGTATAACATTTAGGACACAATAATTTATTGGCATTGGAGATCAATTACAATTTGAACAAATGGCTTAAATGACTACTATGTCTGGTACCAACTAGTGACAACAGTGACTATTAGACGTGTAAGCGACTAGTCGCACACATCCCTAAACTACACATTTTATGGCTCATTAAAGTACCTTAATTACCTCGTCAGCATGCACTTTTTATGACGGTTGTAACTGCTGAAGGCCAGTGTATGGTGCTTTGTAAGGGTTTGTTTGCAGAGCTCTCTGCCTATACCAAAGAATTATGGGAATTCACCTGACACAGAGGGTATGGAGACACTATTTTGTGCACTCCTCCATCAAGTCAGTGGAGCATTACCTCTGGCTGATTGAATGCTGACTGGTTGGAAACATGTTAAACAGCAAAGAAGCACAGACAGTGGCTGCTGTGGATAGTTGTAATTAATTTATGTTACTACAATATAAAGACATTTGTTGTACACTTTGATCTCGGTTTCTTCTGCAGCCAGTAGTTTTGATTATGGTGCACTATTTTTTTTCATGCTGCCCCCTAAAGTGGCAGCAGACATGAGGCAGACATTTGTCTACCTGCTCAGCATCAGCACTATACCAAGCTGGAGAGTTCATGCACTCATTACTTTACCAAATGATTATTGAAGATAATTTTTTTCTATGTTTTAAACTTAAGATAATATGTATATGTTGTTGAATAAGTTAAGTTGTTGCCAGTTTTCTTTTATAAATATGGTAAAGATAATGGTTTAAACCCAAAAAATAAAAATAATTACTTAAAAAGCCCAAACCATCCACTCAAAGCCAAGAAAATGAATGATCTAATCATAATGAAGTCACTCAGACTACATTATGGCAGCTGATTTATTCACTCTTCTCCTTTATTTATTCTGGATGGGTTGAGTTCTGACTGAGGGAAAGCTCTCTTCTCCTGCCTCCTCCTTCTCCGGCCCGAGTTACATAGTTACTCTAAGCTAGAGACCTCTCACATTCCCACCTCGCCCAGCAAAGCAACAGGCTCCATTTACGCTCCTCTGGTGTCAGATCCCCCAGTTGCTGTGTTTGTGCATTTTTATTGCTGGCACCTTGTGTGTGTGTGTGTGTTAGCGGCTGTTGAGTGCAGTAAACTAAGCTCTTTCTAAAGAAACCTATGGGTGCACGCTGATGAATGCAAAAAGCCAAGAGTGCTGTCTAAAAATATAAACCACCCTGTCATTTCTGTTTGATTTGTTTAGCAGGACAAATCTTGACTTTGACTTTGAAGTTGTGTTGGAGAAAACTTCAAAGTTGATATATTTTATATATTATATATTATATATTTTAATGTTTATATAATTTTTTTAATTTTAATGTTAGTAATGTTAGGCCTGTCTGTAAATGTAGAGTTTGTACCCAGGTAAGGCGTAAGGTAACACTGCTTGGAGCAACTTTCTCCTTGCTTCCCAGTTCTCTGACATGTCCCTCAGTGTCCAGTTCAACTTATCTTGCCAGGGATTGCGTAACCTCACTAGACTGGGGTATTGTCAGCTGCCCAGACCTGGCAGATGACCTGGCATTGTGGTTTTTCCCAGCCAACTCTCGTAATGGCTCTGACAGGACATGGAAGTGAGTCAAGGTGAATGACTTATTATGAATGCGTGCAAGCTATTAGGGAGGATGGCATGATGAAGAGCAAGTCCTGTTTGTTGAAGGCGATAATGTGTGAGGGTAGCACGACTGAGTGATGTGTATGCTCACTATCCCTTGCTAGATAAAAGTTTTGAGGCCTTTATCCAAGTACGGTTCGGGTCTCGTCTTATCAGTGTGATAAGCAAGATGAGCAAAATAAGCTGCTGACACTTGCTTCATAAAGAAACAAGTGTCGAAGTGCTTGTGTTGCATGTAAAGTAAGGGATGACTTGCTGATGGCGTCTTCCTACTTGAGGCCGTGTCAATCATCTGCTACATGTCGAAACATGAAATGTGACACTGCAGCTGCCCAGCGGACAAGGTGAATCCCAAAAAGCCAATGTACTGTGACGTTCCCTCTGGCAGGCTTTTGATTGATGGCGGTTTTTATGTTTTGTATCACCCATGCCAGTAATCCTGACTGAAAGCATTTTAGACATCAAAATACATCCAGCAACTGGTACATGGGCTGCAGAATGTCACATTCTGTAGTGTTAGTGAAAGCTTCAACTGCGTAGATTTTCTGCCTAGTGATTGGCCAAGATGTTTGTTGAGACTTTTCTAGTTCAAGGTCTCAGACAAGTGGCAGTTCTTCTTTTTAGATTTCAGAATTCACCTTTGTCCTTTTTTAACTGTTACAGCAGCAATCGCTGTGATTGCTTTTTCTCTTTGTAATACTGTAAAGAAGTTACACCATCACCCTGTGAGCAAGGTTATGTTGTTGTTGCCCATTCTCACAACTGCTTTTATTGAAAATCAATTATTTTTTAAACTTGAACCGATTTAACAAAGGTGCCTATCCTTGGCCTGCTGTGGTTCTAATATCCAGTCGCAGAATTCAGCAGTAGAAAGCACTTAAAATAGCTTTTTTCTTTTCCCCACCACTGTTAACTTGATCGTGTGATTACTGAGTTAGGCACGAATCTGTGTTGGAACCTTTACATATCCTTGTTATAAACAGGCCAGACACCAGACTTAATTGTTTTGGCCTTTCACGGTGAATGTCATTTCATTAACAGCGCTGGATCCCCATGAACCCAAACCTAATCACCTGCTTCACATAAAGATAGGCACGCAGTATCACTTACCATATATTGAATATAGCTCTTCAGTGAACACCCCTTCTCAGAGCTATGTGTCTGTCTGTGTCTGTCTCTCTGTGTGTGTGTGTGTATGTGTTTGTGTGGAATAAGCAAACAAATAGTGCTTACGTAAGACGACTGATCTAAGCTGCTTGCACTGAAATGGCTCAAGGAAAAGTAAACCCTTTGTAAACACACACCCAGACTTGCATGCTCAGTAAATGCATGGGATTTGACATTTTTATTAAAGCATTATTAGCATTATCAGTGGATTCTAAATACACTAGCATTATTTTTAAAAGAAACATTTGTTTAATCTACATCAATTCCCCTGACAGTTTGATTTGTCAGAATCACTACTTCATGACTTTTTGCTGTGAAACTTAATGAGAACTGAGTAAACTAACAATCCTTGGTCTTTACTAAAATTCTATAACAATACAGTTCAAAAATAAGAAAATTGCAGATTGCCCCTTGTGAATGGTTGAAGGTTAATTGTTTTTTTTTTTTTGCCTGACTTGTCTTCGCTTTTAAAACTTTCAGTTATCGGCAGTTATAAATACCAATAGATTGGGAAGTGGCTAAAATTAGCCACTAAGATTGTCCTGGCAATAAATTAGTCAGGCTCTAATCATGCTGTTACTCTTTGATGGCCACCTTTGCTAAAAGATGTTTGTAACAGGGTTCATTCAGAAAAACCTTTGCTCACATAGTTCATCATCTAGTTAATGGTTAGCAAAGCTCTAGTATACAGTGCAGTATTTAGTTGCTGAACAGTCTGAAAAGTTTTGGTTAAAGTGTTCACAGCAACTCCCTGTTGACTGTGTTTTGAAACTGCACTCATCTGAGATCCAGCTCCATCACAGAGACCCCTGCAGGACTGTCACTCTGATAACTTACAGCATTTTGTGTCCTCTATCAAGTTCATGTCTGTGTTTATTGTTTAGAGGGGACTTCAGTCTGAACTAGAGCAGGGCGATATGGCCAAAAATATTTATCACGATATATATTTGAAAATTTGCGATAACGATATAACCGACGATATAATTGATGCGAGACAAAATACAACTCCACAACATTACTAGCGCAAAAAGACAACCTTCCATTTATTTTCACTTAAACAAGAAGCTGGTTTTTATGTACATTAAAGCTTTATAAAAATATAACAGTGCAAATGCAAATTCCTTGCTGAAAGTTTAACCAAAAGGCATTTCCAGTAGAAATGGGCTGACATATCCTGAGCATAACCATGTATAATATCCACTGAAGTTAAAAAGAGGTGCTTTGCAACATTAAACTGCAGTGTGCAGTACGCATTTTTCGGACCATAAGGTGCACGGGATTATAAGGCACATTAAGCGAAACAAAGCAGTCAGATAAATCAAACTTTATTAAACTCATTCTTCTTGCTTCCTCCACTTCTGTACCATTGATTCATTAATGTTGAATTCTCTGGCAGCTGCTCTATTCCCATGTTGTTGCAGTATATTAATGACTAACCTCGTATTGTGGATGGATTATCTCAGTTGTTCTCCTGACTGAAGTTTGGTCCGTTTACAGCATCCTGCCATGCGATTGCATTTGTTTCTAACCATGAAGAACCTTCACGTTAACTTTTATAAGTGGAAAAGTGTTAGTGTTCGTCCTTCAGCTTCACTGTTTATGTTATGCTAACATAGCTGTGTCGCTAGCGATCACGTAGCACATCATTATATACCAGCTAGCCCAACTTCAGTAACCCTACAAACGTCACTGCTGTTTAGTTTCCTGTCTTCATTTATGTTGGAAGTGATAGCAGAGCTGTACGTTTGATTTTTTTCAGAAATCTCTCAGTCAGAACATGCAATATCATGCTTAGGTAACTAGCGAGCTAACTTCCGCTAGCTTCCTGCTAACTTCTAACTCCGTTAAATGTAATAACTTTTGTTTTCATGGATGCCTGGAAGTTAAACTTCATAGTTACACCTGGTAAAGCAGCAATGCTGATCGTTTTATTAAAGATGAAAGAATTTAGACAGTTTTTAACTCTAAGTGATGCTGCAGTGTTGTTTGACCTGAAGAATACGGAGTTTAGGACCCAGATTACTCCCAGATTTAAGAGCATCTTAGTCCGACAAATATGACAATAACAACGGCCGCTTGCATGTTCTGCAAAAAAATGTACTTTGTTGTGTATCTGATGGACAAACACCAAACCAGTTCCACATCACGGAAGTTGCACCATTTTTACAAACCAATTCTGGTTCATCTGTTTCACTCAACAATCGGCCATGTGCGTATGAAAACAAAGGCACTGCGCACGCGCGTTTTACTCCCATTCTATCGCGATATTTCATTTTCCTATCGTTGCCTAACATTATACCGGTATTACCGTGAACGGTATAATATGGCCCAGCCCTAGTCTGAACCCCATCAGGCAAATTTATTTCGCTGGTCTGAACTGGATTCTTTTGTACCCATATACCTGTGACACAGCAATACTCATTAAACCGCCTTACCCTTATTTATTTTTCTCACATGTCAGCAGTGAGAAGTGCTGAGAAGTCAGGAAGAAGGAGGGGACTTTGCTGCCCCTGTGTGGCGATGTCTCCACATTGCATTTAATTATTGCCACTTGATAAATTCTTCCCATTGCTAGAATACATACGAGGTTCTGCTGCATTTGTTGAATGTTTATTCCTGATACTAATGAGCGAATGTGTTTATCTGTGTGTGCCTCTGCAGGGGGATTTGCGGGGCTATCTTTCTCAGCAGGACTGGATGTTCAGAAATGCTGAGTTGCTGCAGCTGCAGAGGATCGCCTGTGAAATTGCTGCTGGTGTCACTCACCTTCACAAACACAACTTCCTGCACAGGTAGCACTTCAGAGCTGCAACACTTTTAGCTACCTTTCAGTTTTGATCCACTAAGCTAAACGTTGTGCTTTTCCTTCCACTCAATACAGCTGGTGTTTCGGGAAATGCTTTTCTGTCTAGTGGTCACTGACAACTAGACAGAAAAGATTGTATTGACTGTATAATCAAATTGTGTGCTCCAGTTGTATTTTAATGTTAAAAAAGATAAGTAGAAATGTTGGTGATTTTTATTTAATGAATGTACTTGACTAACATGTTTATTCTGAAATCCCAATATACTAAAATCACACCAAGTATGTGCTCTTATTCGTTTTAATGTTTGTCCTATAGATACATTTTACTAGGTGCGTACCACCAAGTATCTCTTGGCGAGTACTTAGTCATTAGCATTCCATAATATTATTATAAAGACAAGGGTAAACTAATAGTTTTACTTTTGTGCTGACTGCCCAGCCACTCTAAGGAGTACCAGTGGTGTCCAAAAATGGTGTGCACAGCAGAGAAGGCTGCGTTTCATTTTCACCCCAGTCTGTACTGGACATCTGGCTGCCAGCCAGCAGGGGGGTACAAGGGGTGTTGGGAACTTGGGGAACATACGATGCTCAGCTCATCAGCTCTATTTTGCCTGCTCAGAATAAGCTCAGGGGGTTCCAATTACACAGCTCCCATGCATTGCCACAGTGTCAGCTGTCCGCTGCCAAAGGGATATGATGATTCTGCTTTTTGCGTGTAAGTGGATAGCCTCATATTGGGCGTTGTGTTTTAATCCTTGTTACTACTCAACTAGAGTTCTACAAGCCTGTTCTCATGTGAACTAATTTATTCTGCAATCGTAAAAATGTTTCTGTGGCACTTTTAACCACAGAATATAAATTAAAAAAAAAAAAAAGTACCACCAACTGAACAACACTGCACACAGACACATGCTGGCAGAAATGACAGAGAGGATGGTTATGTAGCAATACCATGTGCTGTACACGCCGTATCCAAAGCTGAAACCTCAGCTTCGTAATGCAAGGGTGAAATTGGACCCGTTGCAGTACAGTATGTAATTTATTCTGTGTGCCATGAATAGATTCCCAATAGGAAGACGTGGACAGGGGTGTTTAAGCCATTATAAGACATTTTTGTGCTTTTTCATTAGGGTTTACCAGGATTTTGATTGTATTATTCTACTACAAAAGTGTTAATGTGTTAATGATTGTGTTAATGTTTAATAAGATCACCTTTTCATAATATAAAAGAGGAAAAATGTAATCTAATCCAGTGCCAAATCACAGGAGTGATCATCTTAAAATGCTTTATATTGTATAGTAAGGTAGGTAGGGTTTCTATCTAACAGCTTGCACTGTTTATTTTCCTGTAATCCGCGGCGTGTTATGCTATGTTTTCCTCCTGTGTTAGTCGAAGCATCCTAAAGGATCAAATACCCTTTGCCTGAACAGTTACAGTGCTATCTTTGACTGCAGGTTTTATTTGCTGCTGCATTTACATTGTATCTGATATTTTTGGGTGGTTTTTGAGAGTGGGGAGCAAAGTTATTTTCATGCATTTTCTATAAAAGATCTTTGTCAGTTGTTCTTGGACTCTGCATTTATTGACTAGATTAGGTTACTAGATTATATTATTCTTTCTGTGTTAACAATGACAGTTCAATACAAAGACATATTAGTTATGTTGCTTTTTCTGCTGGCAACCATGATACCAAATTGCGCAAGTGTCTGTATGGATGGTAAGGTATGGAAGCGATCACTGCTGTGGCCTGCATTAACCTTGTAGGGTTAAGATATTGGACTTGCTTCCTCACTGCTGTGTTACTGTATGTTGGGCTGTCAGCCAGCAGCAGAGGACAGGGGACAGGAGAGTTTAAAATACAGCTCCATTTATCTTACAGGGGTTTCAGTGGGTCTGACAGTAGCTGGGCCATGTGCATGCAAAAATACTTGTGTCAGCAGGGTTTGTCATTGAGTGGGTAAAAAGGCCTTGGAGCTTGTGGACAGGGAATGCTGCAGGGCTAGAGGGAAACCAAAGCCTGCCTCTTCAGTCAGTGTGAATGAACTACCATATGGCTTTTTAATGAGCAGACTGAGTCTCAAGAGCTTGTGACGCCCTCCCCTGGCAGACTAACAAAAAGTCTGCACAGCCTGTGGTTCCCTCCAGAAATCATATCCTGCTGTTGGATGCACAGTCAGGAATAGTCCCCACAGCTTGTTGCAGTGTGAAAGACAGAAAAAATAAGAAAGACCCTGTTCTAATTTCCTCTAAATGTTTTAAGTGTTTTGTGATCCTTGCCAAACTTTCCTCACTTGATTCTTGTTGATTGTTTTGCACACTCCTTTTTTATACTTCTAAATGGTAATGCCAGCATAGGCTAAACAAAACCGAATAAGCTAAATAATTTCATTAGTGATGGTCTCGGTCTTTCTTCCAAATCTGTGAATGCTGTAGCAGTTGTGAATTTGTCTTGAATGTCTTCACCACTCAAAATGTAATGCTCATGTCTGTGTTTATGCTCCTGTAGTGATCTAGCACTGAGGAACTGCTACCTGACTGCAGACCTCACAGTCAAAGTGGGAGACTATGGCATTGGACCCTGCAGATATAAAGTAAGGAGAAACCTTAAGTGAGATGCATAAAAGTGTTAAAAGTGCAAAGAATAAAGCATTATATGAATGGATGAATACGCATGAAGTGATTTGAGTAGTTAGTAAGTAGGCAAGCACTGTTTAAATGCAAGTCAGTTTTATTTATGTTTAAGTCTGGCCATGTTTTTTGGCTGAAGTCAGTGCTTGTGCAACCAGTTGCAAATGAACAGACTGAAAATAAACAGACTTTATCAGAGGCTGTACATGTTTCCTTTGATCAACGATATATTTCACTGAAGAATTAATACTGTCCTCTCATATAACATGACATGCTGCATATGTGAGGAAGCTCTGTCTGCTGCATTCCTTTAATACTGCTGATCTGTCAGTTTGGCTGTCTGAATTTAATACTCATGATATAAGGTCACCCACTAGATCTATTTCTGTAAAGAAAGAGGGAGGCAGTGCAAGAGTGAACCACCTCAATGAGAGCTAATAAACGTTTTATTTAGGTCATATTTCTGCAGTATTTCTTGGAAAAAATTTTAAAAATTGTGTAACAGATTGTTTTTAAATTGTGCTACCATAGGAAGATTACATCATCACAGAGGATGATGTGTATGCACCCCTTCGTTGGTTGGCCCCTGAGCTGGTAGGCGAGCGCCATGGTGGCGTAATTACTATGGAACAGACCAAGCCGAGCAATGTGTGGTATGTACCAGATTTCAGCCCTGCACTGACACTAGAGGGCATTTCAAAAACTGACTCACACATCCAGGCTCACTTGCTGTCATTAGAGAACAGAAACTGTATTAATGTGTTATAACAGGTATTCTAAGTAGAGCCAAATCCACAATAGCTCAAATATACATACATGTAATTGGAACATGATTTATTTTTGGAATACAACAAAGTAAAGTATCATAGTAAATGATTACTTACAGTTTTGCTAATGTTCAGCAGATTAAAACAACAATCCTGACAGTTCACCAACTGTACATCTCTCCTCACAGTATTCTTTTTGAGCCCCTCCATGACTTCACAGTTACTACTGCCTGTTTTAGTCAGGACAATCTTACAAATGACTTGTAATTATATTTTAGTTATATTTAGTAGTTATATAAGTTATATTTTCTTTATTGAATAAAGGTTACATTAAAAACTAAGTCTATTATGGGTGGCTGTAGCTCAGGTGGCAGAGCAGGTCAGCCACTAATCAGAAGGTCGGTGGTTCGATCCCAGGCTGCCTCCTGACTGCATGCCAAATATCCTTGGGCAAGATACTAACCCTGTGTTTGCCTACTGGTGGTGGTCAGAGGGCCCGGTGGCGCCAGTGTCCGGCAGCCTCACCTCTGTCAGTGCGCCCCAGGGCAGCTTTGGCTACAATGTAGCTTGCCATCGCCGGTGTGTGAATGTGTGTGTGAATGGGTGAATGACTGAATGTAGTGTGAAGCGCTTTGGGGTCCTTAGGGACTAGAAAAGCGCTATACAAATGCAGGCCATTTACCATTTACCATATTATCCAAGTACCTAATTTGCCACTGAATACAACTATGTTGACATTCTAAACGTTTCCTGAGGTAAAGAGAAAGTTAGTATTTATTATGTAATCCCACAGCTACACTGAATCTACAGCAAATACAATTTCCAACCACTTTATTAGGTACTATTTAAGGCAGTTATCTAATCAGCCAATCACATGGCAACAGCACAATGCATTTAGTCATGTAGACATGGTCAAGACAACTTGTTGTTTCATCAAGTTCAAACCGAGCATCAGAATCGGGAAGAAAGTGACCTTGAACATGTTCGTTGGTCCCAGATGTCCTGCTCTGAGTATTTTGGAAACTGCTGATTTTCCCACACAGTCTTCTCAAGTGTTTACAGAGAATGTTCTAAAAAAAAAAAGAGAAAATATTGGAAGGCAACAATAATTTAAATAACCACTCATGACAACAGAGGTATTCAGTTGAGCCTTTCGGAATACACAACACATTGAACTTTGAAGCAGGACTACAGCGGCACAAGACCACACTGCATGAATCTGGTGTAAATGTCTCTGCATCCATCCTGGCTTGTATCAAAGATCAAGGTGGTGTAATGGTGTCAACGATATTTTTGGAATACTTTGTGTGCCAACCAAGTATTGTTTAAAGGCTGCAGCCTACCTCAGTATTGTTGTTGATCATCTCCATCCGTTTTGCATCATGGATGTGCAGCCGACAAATCTGCATGGTAGCATCACACAGTTCTGAGGGCAAAAGGGGGTCAAACCAGGTACTAGCAAGTGTCTGGTGAATGTATGGATCGTGTGTAGCAGAACATATCTTTTACTCTGGACACATAAGCAGTGCACGTTTTGTGTAGGGATTTGTGAAGCACAGTCCAAACATGATAAGCTTTCACTGTGAGATTAAGTTGTCTTTAGCTACTTTAGCAACTCAACACAGCGCTACAAAATCTATTTACCAATTTTGTGTGAAACTGGTAAATAACTACCTATAGACAACAGTTGACTGTGTAAAGTTACTGAAGTTACATTGTCTGGTACCTTACTGACAAAAATAATGCTGATGCTGGTATATGTAATAAAATACAAGCACTTTATGATCCATTTCTGTGTAAACTTGGCTGTGTTGTGGAGTCATATAGAAAATTCATCTAGTTTCAAAGCAGATACCTGTGGCACATATGCATTGCTTATCCTTCTAGTACAACTTTTTTTTTTTTTTTTTAATCCTCAATTGTCCGTAGGGCATTGGGGGTCACATTATGGGAGCTCTTTGAGAATGCTGCTCAGCCGTACCCACATCTGTCTGACCGAGAAGTTCTCAACCATGTGATCAAGGAGCAGCAAGTCAAGCTGTTCAAGCCACAACTGGAACTTCCCTACTCTGATAGATGGTGAGTCCCCGGAAGATGGCTATTTAAGCAGCTTGCATTAAAATTGTTAAATTTAAAACTAATGACATTGCTAAAATTATTAGGCTGTTAGCAATATAAAGTGTCTAATTTTTTTTATTTTTTTCTGTAACTGTAGGTATGAAATTTTGCAGTTCTGTTGGCTGTCTCCAGACAAGCGGGCCACAGCAGAGGAAGTACACCGTCTCCTCATCTATCTGCGTATGCAAGGCCAGAAGGACATAGAAGAAGATTTCGAGCAACGCTGGGATGCACTGAAGCCTAACCCCACTATGCGGCAGACCACTGTTAGCCATTCCTCCTTCCCAATCTTGGAACAGTTTGCTGATGATGCCCTGAGACAAGAAATAGATGAAATTCTGACTGTGACTGAAACAAGCAAAGGTCTCAGCTTTGAGTATGTTTGGGAAGCGGCTAAGCATGACCACTATGATGGTAACCATGGACGTTCAGGCGTAGACACAACACTAAACTACCACAGCATGTTCTTTCCTGTTTCCAGTGAAGATATTCAGGCTCATTTCCCTGATCCTTCAACTAGCGCAGCAGGAGGAGAAAGTGGGAACACTCCAGGATTTCCTGGGATCTTACCGGTGTTTGATGCTCAAAAGCCATCTAATGGGAATGAATATTATATCCAACTAGAAGAGCAAGGGGAGAGCACTGTTGGGGAGGACGGGAATAGAGAACCAGATATGGGCTTTGGTTCAAGCGGGCAAGATTTTGTTGTGCTCCAAGATGTGCGGCTAGATGAGTCAAGCACAGATGCTGACTTTTTCCACCAAAGTATTGACTCAAAGGATTCATATTTACCAGACAGCCACATCTGGTCGTCTCTTGAAAATGACAGTCCGTACCACACCAACATTTTTACAGAAGACGGGTCAAAACAAGAAGACTCGCCTTCCTGGAGGCAGAATTTTATGGAGCTTCCAGACCGCAGCGGAAACCCTTTCCTTGAAGGGGGAACTTTAGAGGGTGAAGCAGTGAATAGAGATGGAAGCTATGGGGATGCTTTTTTAGGGGAACCCACTAAGGTGGTGAATTCTGTGGAAGCAAAGGATGAAAACATGAATGGAAAAAATCTTTTGAGTACTGAAAAACTAGCAGATAATTTTATGTTTCTTAAAGATCAAACCCTAATGAAGGAGGGTGCTAGTTTCTTAAGCCCACAACCAAATTTTCTTTTACCTGGTTTAGCCCACGAACCAGAGGAAGCATTCAAAATGAATTCTTGGGATAAGCTTGACTCGTTAGGCAGCTTAAACACAGCAGACACTTATTTTAAATCGGCAGCAAGTAGCACATCCTCAAGACACGAACTTCTAGACTCTCCAAGTAACAGTTTGGGGGAGTTTTGTCAGTCTCTAGAAAATGAGACACTGGTGCCTTCCATTACAGTGGTCACAGAAGATGACACAAGCAACCAGCTGCCAGCTAGAAATTGTTCTTCCACAGAAGACCTTGGTCTGTTGCAATCCTCAAACAGAGGTGTAGACTCTGGTTTTGATTCTACCTCAGAGAGGTTTGAGGTTCTCATCAGTCACACTGATGACCACACCACTGCAATATCTGACAGTGCCAATACAGATTCTTTGTGCACAGATGCCAAAATTCCCAGCCTTGAAGATGACCTTGGAACCTCAAAGGATGACACTCAGCCCATAGAAAGTAAAATGCCTGAACCCCTGCCAGCTCAAGTATTACCTTCAGATAATGGACACAGTGAAGACCTAACAAGTAATGATTTGTTGAGCGAGTTAATTGAGGATGCAGATATACAAATGGAAACCACTCTGTCTGATCATGAAGAATCATTTATGGATACCAATGGGCATCCTCATGATAGAGCTTCTCTTCTGGTGTCGGGTCCATCTTTGGACCAGATCAGCCAGGACAGTTTATTGGAAGACAGTATGTCCACCACTGTTCCAACTGTAGAGAACTTTGCTGAAACACCAGACTCATTAGACTCATTTGACATACACAGGCTTGGAGAGCAAGGAGATGAACTGAATGCTCAAATTGCTCAACACAAACTCCAACCTCCATACAGGATATCAGATAGTGGTTATGAGACTGAGAACCTGGAGTCTCCTGAGTGGAACTCTCAGCCAAATGTCCAAGATTCCTCTCCTGTAAAAAATGGCTTGAGTGTTACCAAAGAAGAAGAGGAGACAGAAGAGCTCACAACTGCGGCAAATCTGGTTCCGCCGAAAATCATAATCTCCGAAGTAGAGGGTGTGCTAGATACTCGCAGTGAAGATCCCAGTGAGGAAGATCAGCCAGATAATGAAGGTCCTGCTGAGGAACCAATTATGGGAAGTAATTACAGAGACTCTGCATACTTTTCTGACAATGAATCAGAACCTGAAAAGAAGTCTGAAGAAATAACTGCAGGTGGTTCTGTTGAAGACACGTGGCTGAGGAACTCCACTGATGAGGTTCCCGAGGCTTCTGGAGCTCCTGCACTGGAGGCTTACAAGGAAAAAGATATTGACTCTTTATTTTCTCTACCTGCTGAATCACAAGCCAAGGATGTTAAGGAGATGGGTTCAGTAGCAGATTCAGGTATCAGAGAAAATGGTGAAAACCAGGTGGTCGAGTCTACCAGCAGCTCCAATGAAGATGGAATTAAACCAGAGGTTTTCAAGGACACTGCATTTACTGATCACCTGGACCCCTCTGAAGGCCCAGAAACCTCAATACTTCCTTCTATTGCCCCAGCTAAGCCAGCAACAGAGAGTGTAGTTCACGCTAAACTCACCAGAACCGACACCAGTGATGGTCATAAAATAAAGGAGCCGGATGTGGAGGGGCGTTACCTGGGGAGGCGGGATGGGTCGGGCTTAGATGGGCAAGAAGATGGCGTAGATGCAGACGAGGAGGACGAGAACAGCGACGACTCGGATGACGACATGCGCGCGTACCAGCTGCACAGCTCTAGCTCAGAAAGCGAGGATGAAACCGTGCACCCGGTGCCAGTTGTTATCTCGGACGACAGCAGGGCGAAGAACCTGAAGAGCTTGTTAAAACCCACATCTCTGAACATCGGAGCATCATCTTTCACGTTTCCTGCAAGGTTTGGTGCGGATAACTCCAAAAGAGCCGTGTCTTTCTTTGATGATGTCACTGTCTACCTGTTTGACCAGGTAAAATTTTAGTCTGTGATCTTCATTTTCTTAGTTTGCGGGGGCAACTGGTAATATGTGTTAACTGAATTAAATCTTATTTAGGAGACGCCCACCAAGGAACTGGGTGACCACTCCTTGGATTCAAACAGTCGGGTACCACAGTTCAGCAGTTCCACGCCTGCTGCCAGCTACCTGAACCGCTTTGCCAACTCTGAGAGCTCAACAGATGAAGAAGGTAATGCCACAAGTCAGCAATAAAAGCCTCTATTTGCACAAAGCATATGTCTTGATTCACTGACTAAATCTTTACAGGTGGTGGTTTTGAGTGGGATGATGACTTCTCCTCACCCGCACCCGCCTTCCTGTCCAAGACGGGTAAAGACACGGTATCCAAGGCAAGGTCCTCATCTGCAGCGTCGTTTTCCTCTCCGGCCCCTGCAGTGGGGTCCATGCTAGATACCAGCTGGACCAGCTCTTCAAGCTACTCCCGTTTTTCCATCTCACCGGCCAGCATTGCCAGCTTTTCCCTTACCCATCTTACCGACTCTGATATTGAACAAGGAGGCAAGTAGAGCAGGCCAAACTGGTATACAGTCTTGAATGGATAGCTCAGTATTTTAGGAAGAAAATGTCCATGTCTGTGCAGTAAATACAAAACTTTAATGAAACCTTCCTCACTCAAACCTGAGTCTTCTCCTGATCTTTCACATATTAGACCCATTTGTAAACCACTACACTGTACAGCTACAGTGTGCCATGTGTATGCATCAAATTCACAAACTTAGGAGGTGTGCATTCTTACTGAGCCCAGCTATTCTTGAATTGCAGTCTTGGTTCTAAGTTAAGCTAACCAATCTGATTCCATTGCGTTCCTAATTTTATTATATGTATGCAAGTGTCTGAATATATTAAGATTATGTTTAATTTGATGTCCACCACTGTCATCAGAGTTTACATGAACAATAAAATGGTTGTGTTTTCAGGGGTTTTACCAGATGACTAAACTTGTCTTTGTTCACACCAGGAAGCAGCGAGGACGGGGAGAAAGACTAGGGTGCTAAATGAAGGGACCGTTTATCTTCACACTACTGTGGAATGAAGCTACTCTCGCTCTTTTTTTTATTTTTTATTTTTTTTGGGAGAACAGCTGAATAAGGACAACAGACGACGCAGTTTGTGGGGACAAACTGCAGATGCTTCTCTCAGGCAGAACTATTCTCAGCGGCGTGGCCATGAGAACAAAAGGTTGTAAACGGACATTAGGCAAATAAGACGGACGAGGCCCAGTCCCAGTCTGAGCCACATCACCTCTCCAGCTCCATCTGTGTGTGTGCGTGCGTGTTTGTATGATTTTTAGTTCAGTGCAATTAAAATGTTTTGGGGAGGGAAAACAAACTAACTGACGTAGCTTCTAAATGTTTGCTTTAATGCCTCATCATGCGCATTCCAGGTGTTTGGCTGCTTCTTTTTGTTGTGTGTAAGTGCACTCCTTTTCTAGGACTTTTGCTTCACCAAAAAAAAAAAAAAAAAATTATTTAATTAAAGAAAATCAACCCACTGGGCTGGTAAACGTATCACTACAGCCAAACAAGAATAAGCTCTTTGATTTCACACACACCTAAAACTGACAGCTTAATTTGTTCACTTTGCTCCTTCATGTCATGTGATTATTTCCGTGATTGCCTTTTATTTGAAAAACTTCCTGTTAAGTTTAATCACAGTCTCCTTTTTGGAGAGGAAGCCATGTGTGTTGTCTTTCTGTAGCAGCATTTGAATTAACGGGTTGTAACTGCTGTAGGTGCAATCCATGCATAGGATGACTGGAACACTACACTACAGAGGCGACACACTGTATTGTCCTTTATGTTTTAAAGGAACATGTATAGTAAGCGTAGTCGAAGTTTGGAGAAATGTCGGTAAGAATTGTGGGATTGTCATATCAGTCGTTAAAGAGGCGACCCAGCTGTAAGACAGTTGTGATGAATAACTTAAAACAAGTTGTTGTTGCTTTTCTTTTGTAAAGCTTTATTTTATCCTTGCGAATGTGCAGGAAGTCGCTTTGATGGTTGTCTCGATTACTTTGTCACTGGGTCTCATTCCAGTGCCTGATGACGCTGAAAGACAAAGAGGCTGCACCCCTCGATTGATGATCGCTACAAAAAGTTTAGTGGTATGATGTTTAAAAAAAAAAAAAAAAAAAGAAGCTATTTTTAAATGTAAGGATGAAGAAAATGTCATGAGCTGTTTGTAATCAAATGTGCAATGAATTTCATAAATTGGTTTGAATCAGAGTTTGTAGGACAAGCTGACGAGCGTGTGCAGGGACTTTAAGCTTTCACAGCAACTTACTACTAGAACAACGACAACAACGACAAGAAACTCAATGCTGCTGCTTTTATAAACCCGAGCGTTGTGGGCGGAGTTGTTTGCTTTTTTCTTTTTTCAGCTTTGTGTCAAACTTCACTATTTCAGATTGCATTTCCATCTTAAATGACCCTTTCTGTTCAGCTTCTGCCTCTGAGTCTTATCATTTGCGGGGCCGTACGTACAGGGATGTGCATTCGTCGCGATCACTTTCTGTATAGAAGCGCAATGCAAATGGTTATAGATGAAGACAGACCTTGCCTCACATTTTTATGTACAGCTTTAAAATCTCTTATTTGAAACTGTAGGGTATACAGTTAAGGCTTTCCTTTCCTTTCCTTGAATATTTTGTCGCTGATGATGAGATGAGAAGCTGTACTTCACCCGTAATAGCTACATGTCCGTCTCACCTGCCCCATACAGACGACACTGTATCCCAGACAATGTTATCCTCTGTTTAAAAACCAGCAGCCTGTGCTTCAGTTAAACTTGAACATCTATTTAAGGAAATCTTCTTTTATTTCACTACAGTATACATTTGCTTAATCTTGCACATTTGAGAAATGTAACTTAATGTTGAACTGTACTGATGTGTATATAAATGTTAATTTTTCTTTTTGTCTGTAAATGATGGGAAATTATGTAATTGAGTTCTAGGTATGAGGTTTCATTTTGTAACTTAAACTGAGTTGAATCAGAGGAACATATCACAGTCATCAGCTACAAGCAGTTAAATTAAGACAAACAAGCAGACGTGAAGTCATTCTGTCCTTTAAACTTGTAGAATTAAAAAAAAATATTTTTACTTCATATTGATCATGCTTAGTGTGATTAAAATGTTTATAATTACACTGTTTAATATGAAAATAAATGCAAATGACTTCTAATAAAGGTTTGTGGCTCGTTCTGTTTTCAGTTGATAATCATGCAGGAGATTAACACGTTTAATTGGACTGAACACGAGTTGGTGTATGAGGCTCAGGGCAGGCTGCACGGGTAATCTTAAGGCCTCGAGTAGGTTAAGATGTCAAAATGCACAGTGCCACATTTGGCAAAAACTAAACAAAGCAAATCAGCAAAAATACCTCATCCCTGCTGTTGGTGTACAGGACCTGTCACCAACTCCACCATGAACTCCCCTGTATGCCAAAGTGCTCTAGAGACGAATGCAAGCAGTCTGTTTGTTGGCTAAAGCTCGGTCCATGTAACAGATCAATGATCTCAGGGGTGGCAGAATGACCTAGTCAGCTTTTCAACATGAGCAACGAATGATCGCAAACATCACTTAAACTGAAGCAACGCTGTAAAGAAGAGTGGGGTGAAAATTCCTCCACAGCAATGTGAGAGAGACTGATAGTCACTTATTGTTGCTAAAGCTGGTTCTAGAAGCTACTAAATCCTTCAGTGTACTTAAAGGGTTTTTTTTTTTACAGGACTGAATACAGAACTGTGAAACAAGTTTCAGGGAACTTAGAAATGTGTTGGTGAACTCATGTGGATGTGGCTTTCCAAATCATCCCTGCTGTGTTGTGAGAGTGGCTGTGTAGTATAATATAATGTTAATGTTAATGTTCATTGTGTAAGCACAGGTGTAAACTGTAAAGCTGAAAATATCAACTATCCGATTATGACCTTCCATGTTATTCAGTGCAGAAAAAAGCAGGATTTCCCACTGCAGCGAGTGCCACTCCCTTCAAGAACCAGAACAGTTCTGCTTTCCATGACCGTTTAATCAAGCTGTCAGTTGAGGATTTATTTTTCTCAAACTACAGACGGATCAGTGTTCTTGCTGCACAGGGTTTAGAGCCAGCCCCAGTTTAAGCTGGGGGATGAAGAAGTAATACACACTGCTGTATTACATTTTCAACATCCCACGTTGAGTAGCCTTTTGAAGTTTAGAGCAAAAATACTTTTGTGTGTGTGTGCGCATCTATTTTGGGATTATAGACTAAAAAATTCTTTCAAATATACTCAGTTCAGAGCAGATTAAAATGGCCTATATGTGACAAAGGTCTTTTTTTAAAATGCAGGAACATCCTGTGATCAGTGCTGGAAGGTCAGGGATTTGTGCTGCTGCTGAAACATCCACCAATCAAAACTGCAGATTGTGTCTCGGATGTTTGAGATTCACTGCAGTGTGATACGTCTGCAGGACTTCACAGCAGACAGCTTTTGCCTTTAATCACTCATTTTAACATTTGTGATTGTCTAATGAAATTTTTTTTTTCACAGCTCGTTTCAGCACTTGTGTAACTTTACAAATATATGGCGGGTTAACCTATATGCACATACAGAGGGAGGAATTCAGGAAACATCCTGTGCACACCTCTGTAACAATATATGAAATTCTTTGGCGGATGAGAAACACTCAGTACATAAAAAAGAGAATAAAATAGCAAAGACGTGGAAAGGGTCAAACTTCCAAAGCCAGCTTCTGTGAAATTATGTCAAACCACAAAACGGTATTTCCAGACGTTTATTTCACATTTCAATGCCCCGGTAAGATCAATGCACAGCCGTGGTGACATTCAGACCTGCTGCAGTGTTACGGTCATAGCAGTTATCTAGATGTGTGTATATATCTATATATAGAGATATAGATAGATATATATAGATCTCTATCAACAGGAAGAGCTTCTCATTTTATTGCAGAAGGATAGAAAGGTATTGCCTGGCTGTAAAAAGCAATATATTTTTCCCCACACAAAGTGAACGTATCAAATTTTTTTGCCAGTCATAAATACACTCCATTGCAAACATGTAATGGTCCAAAGTAAACGGAGAAACACAACTCAACAAACGCATCATAAATAAATGATAACACATTCAAATGTACATGACAGGCAACTCAAAACACAAAAACAAATAGAACAAGAGTCTACAAACCGATAACAGCTTAGGCTACTCTGGGATTGTTTGAAGTTCATTTGGTAACCAAGCCTTAGCCCTTCATCGTATCCCACCTTCTTAGGTTTTATCAGGCTGCTGTGGAGAAGAATTAAAAGCTATTGCTAGATCCTGTGACATCCAGTAGCCAAAGCTTAGTAAGAGCAACAACATGCGCTCACTTTTTTCTCTGTTTTGTCATCAGTGAATACTGACATGATTTCTGCCCGGGAAACAAGCCAGCGAGTAACATTCATCCATCGATCAAGTTTCAAATCCAGCCAGTCCAAACCCATGGGTGTGATTGTGCATGTCCCTTTACACGAAGGGATAGGAGTTCGTTGAAATGGTCTGAGGAGAGATGCTGTGTATAGATCCAGGCACAAACAGGGCTGAGGAAAAAGAACGAGAAGGAAACGGGAGACAGAGAGAGAGCTACACGCTTGTGGCGCTGCCGTTCGCTTGAGTCGGACGCTGCGGGTGGACCAGGCTGCGCGATGGGCCGGCGAGAGGAGGGTGAGGGCCTCGAGGAGCCTCTGCTGAGTTCCCCCTCACACTGATGTGCTCCCACCCTCCCTGGAAGTCAAACATACGCAAATGATAAGAAATACTAGAAAAAGCTTAAACAGCTTTAACTGTTTTTGAATACTTGCATGTGATTAGCAGCACCTGCCTGCTACTTCCGCACTTGATTCCTATAGAAGAGGTAAAGTTGGACTTTTCCAGAGTTCTTCTGTATTTTGGTTTAGATTTTGTTAAATAAATGAAAACACTGTAATTTGTTGTTGTATTTACCTTATTTTAAGACCTTGTATCTACCAGATAGATTTATTATATTGTGAATATGTACATCTTTAGAACTGAAAGCGGGTGTTACTTCATATTACGCTGACTGTATATATTTTGCTGGTTTTTAAAGTGCAGTTAATTTTAACCTAATTATTAGACAATTAAAAAATAGCTTTACTTCAAATCTTAATGCTAAGTTTGAAAGGTGCCTTTTGCCAATAGCCTGAATTCTTCAATTCAAGTAAGGAGAACATGATGGCCCTGCCTAAAGCTTCTGCTTATGTTGATTTAAGGCTTGATTCATAGTCCTGTGTTGGATCCCTGCAGAGCTTCTCTCTCGGTGTCACTGTTTGCATACAGAATATACTTCTCCATCAGTGTGTCTGCCAGCACGAGTGAACCTGAGCTGATCATCTTGCACTCTGCGCTAATAAATAGGGAATAAGATTTAGTTTACACTGGCAAAATACTGGCTGTTGCGCGAGCTCTGTTAAGCATTTGTTTGACAGAGCTATTACCCCTCTGCTAATCATTACACTGTGTTTACTCTGCATTTGATTTTTATTGGCAATCATACCTACAGCGTAGATTTATCACAGTACTATTAATCAAGCTTGAGTGGTTTATGCTCTCTTATGAGAGCCACTTTCCCTGTATGATTTCACAGAGCTACATTGAGGTTAAAAAATATGTGAAAGTCATCCTTTTGGTTGTTTCTTCACTACAGCACCGCATGAGTATCGATCTGCAGATGAAAATTGTTAAAAAATTCATTCTTCTACTGAGATCACTCCTGATCAGGCTTCAGTGAGCAGTAGACTAATCAGCTGAAGGGGCTGGATGCATCTCACATGTCCTGTGTCAGAGTTTTGCTGGATTTTTTTTTTTTACTGTTTCTTACCACAGGAGTCCCAGTTTCCTCAAAGTTTTTAGGGACACACTGCACACTATGCTGTGATAATAGCTTTTTGGGAATCGTTTTTTTGGTGCTGGGATACAATATAATAATATCTTTGGCATCTTTCAGTTTCAACTGAAGAAATGGGAACAGTTTTTGCAACAGGTATCAACTAGGAGCTCACCCCTATCCCATAGTCCCAGGACAGGCCCTTGGGCTGCATGGGTCCCACGCTCGTCCTGTGGCAGACGGCTCCGGGAGTCTCAGCAGGGAAACCTGGAACTCCGTCTGCTATGATCCACACCTGGAGAAAACAGCATCGCTGACACAAACTCCAGCCTTACAACATGCAAATGTAGTTATTGATGGATAGACTTCTTGTTTTAAGCCTTCGCTTGAGTTTATTTAGTGTTTATTACACTCAGCTAAGTCTCTGGGGTGACGGGGCTTTTCAGACTTTGGTAACTGAATGCTAAAAACATATCTGTTTAGATGGGCAACTGGGCGATATGAATGCAACAGGTCTGCTATTATGTAAAGTTAATTTGAATTCTCTTAATGCTTTGAACTCCAGTTTTACTATAAATGCAGTTTCTTTTTTTATTCCTTTTAATGTCTTTTAGATTCTGTTTTACTTTTAATTCCATTACAGCTTGTTTGCTTCTGGAAACTGTGGTAACACTGACCTGGTCCAGCGGCCCCACAGAAACCTTGGAGGCATTGTTGGAGATGAGCTCCCAGGCGGAGCCCTGTGGGTAGCTGGGGGTGAGGCCCTGTCTGTACCACAGGTTACCTAAATGACATTGACAGAAGGTATTGCCATTTAACTCATGTTCTCGCATTTTAATAGACATTGGTCCAATAAAATATAATATTGCTCACTGTTTTCATCCACAGCAAAGACAGAGGTCCGCCCAACAGAAAGCTGTCTGAGGGTCTGTCTCAGGGGGGAGGGGATGTGGTACCAGCACTCTCCTGCAGAGAGACAAACGCTCTTGAAAAATAGACAAAGTCTGGCTCTCTTTGGTTTCTCGCTGTTATATTAGTCGATGCATGCACTCACATCATAAATCATTTAACTTTATTCTCTTTTCCTCCAGAACACATTACAACTTTATGACTTATGTATATGATTCATTATGAGATTTATAAATTTAACTGACCTGCAGGGTTTTGTGGGGATACTGATCCTCTGTAGAAGACAGCTCCATCCTTGGCAATGGCCCATACCTGATTGGCTCCACCGATAGAGATGGACTTAAAGGGCTGGTCAGTGCCCACGTGGAGCCACGAGCTGCCCTATGTGGTCAGACCCAGTGAGGTTAGAGATGGTTAGAAGTGTGAAGTAACTACCTATAAAACAGATCCTCAGCACGTTTCTCACCGCAGGGTTTTGGAGGCTGACTCCCAACCGACACAAGACATCTCCCTTGTCGCTGAGGGCCCAGACAGGGACCTGCTCCATTTTGCTCTGGGCCAGGCATGGCATCAGTGAGATGTCACTCAGGCGGATGGGTGGGACCTGATTCCATGGAGCTTGCAATGTGATCTTACACTTCCTGGGTGTGGATATGTTATTGTTAAGATGCTGCAAAAACTGAGCGCTACAAAATCCCAGCAATGCGAATTGTGCGCTCACCTAGTCCATCGTCTGCGTCTAACAAAGTCTTTCATGGTTTTGTGGCCATGAAATGTCCTGTAGAAAACAGATGAGTCAATAAAAGGGAAGGACTTCTTTCGAGACACCCTAATAAAAACAAATAAAAAAGCTTACGTACGTGGGAAAGTCTGCAGCATACTGCCAGCCTTCTTTGTCCGTTCCTCCGGGGACGCTGTAGTCCACGGCCCACTCTGACACCTGAAACAAATGTTCATGGCAGAGAATGCCAGTGAGTCAAAAAAAAAATGAATATTTCGGAGGAACCAATCCCTCGGATTCTACCTACCCAGGACCACTGAGGGGAGGGCGGGTATGTGCTGCCTTTGATGCACTCCTTCAGGCCGCTTTCATCGCTCCACATAGGGCGGTCTGTAGGAAGCCCTCTGGAGGAGTAAATCACAAAGGAATGGTGTAAGGTGGCGAGAACAGCTGCAAAGCTTAAAATAAAGTGCAAAGACTTAAAAACTGTAAAAGATGGGGTGGGGTGTGTGCGGGGGGCAACCCTACTTGTCTGTATATCCAGTCATAGGGTTCCATCTTTGATTCTCATACACATGCACGCTCCTGACGTCGGTCTGCTGGTGCATCTGAACGGCACCTTCTGCAGAAACGAAGAAACATTAAACTTTCATGCAAACAAGGGAATGAATATTTATGCATGTGTATCTGTGTGTGCTTCTACAGTGGCAACAGATGGAAGAGACTTTAAACTATGCTCAAGCAGTTGCACATCGAACTAGAACATGCGAGCAAGAAAAGAGCAGACTGTTGTTTTTTTTTTAGATATTTACATGTTAGTATTTTATTTATTTGGTAACAATCAGTTAGCTGGAAAAAGTTTGGCTTTGCTAAATAAGAACATGTTTTTATTTTGAAGTACTCCTTGTATAGGTGTGGGGACATGGGTAATCGTCTACAGGACATGTTTACCCGGGTTGGGCTGTTGCTCACAGCGCCCACTGTAGACCCAGGCGGTGCCGTCCCACCCGATGCCCCACACCAGCCCCAGACTGTTAGACTCTACACAGCGCAGGTGGCCGTGGATCTGGCACCAAAACCTGTAGCACCATACAGCGGAAGCACCCAGCGTTAGCTCCAGTATAGTTAGCACAGACTGAAAGTGATTAGATGCTCAAATGCTACCCACTTTAACCAGACAGAGATGTATGTTAGCATGTTAGTGAGGCAGTGATTTAAAATAAAAACAGAGTAATGAGAAACCAGGTCAAGACAGTGAGAAAGAATGAAAAGACATGAAAAAGCAGACAGAATCCACTGCTCGGTATCATTCTCACATGAGGTCACAGGCCATGGCATGCGCAGGGGCCTCCAGCGAGAGGGACGGCTCGTGGACCATGATGTCTCCCTTTGATGTGGTGGACCACAGGGCCTGTTTGGACGGGAGACCTGTGATCCCTCGACACTCACAGCAACAGTCAGACAACAAGCACAACTGAAGACACAAAGCAGATCCAGAAACAATGGAGAATCTGATCAGCCTCACTGAAAAATAACAGATGGGAACAACTGTCAAACTGCTTAATGATGCATAAAGCTGTTACCCAATCACTCATATCCTTTTCGCTTTGTGCTGCCAGGACCAGAGGCCACCTCTGTTTGGTCCTTTCGGCAGTGTACACAGCAAAGGCATAGTGGCAGTCCCTGAGCACCGGAACCAGCGCCGTCACTTCATTTATAAACACATGAAGGTACTGAGACACAGAGAATGAACAGAGAGTGACCGAGAGACATCTATCTGTGCTTTCTGACACTTCTTATGAGACTTTAACCGGTCGCAGCTTAACACAACCGACCTTTTTCTCATCATACTGTGTGTAGTAAACAAAGAAAATGCTGTCCTTTTTGCCATCTGACTTGGTGGACTGCTCGAGAGCAACGCCCACATCGATCCAGCGCTGAGGTTTCCAGTCTCTCCACCAGCGCAGTGTGCCCTTACGCACCCACACCGACTGATGAGAGAAAAGGAGGCACAGATGTAGACACGGACACAGCCGAGGGTGTGCCATGAATATAATGAATCCAACACTTAGAGGAGCATGTTAAGAGACATGCCAAATATAAGCTGTCTTACGTTGCTTCTTTCCAGCGGTTTCTTGCTGATCTCCTCTCTGTGTTCCTGCTGCTGTGGCTGTTTGCTCCAGGCGGCTGACTGGACTGGAGTCAGTGACAGAGAGGTGGTGAGAGGACCTGATGGACAGAGGTACAGCTCACACAATCATTCAGAGACATAAAATGGAGCAAAAACACAATATCACAATATAAGTATTGTGACTGGTTGTCCATATACCTGCAGGACTAAGCCAGCTAATCTGTGAACTCGCATCCATGTCGCAACCTCCACCGGAAATCCAAGCCCACACTGGTCCTTCCTCTTCCCCCACTCCCCGAGAGCTCTCCAGAGTCCCCAGGGCATAAGTGGCAGCCGCACTGCCATCGCCCGCTGAGGGCCCTGCCGTTTGTGCACCTCGAGCCGCCTCTGCCCCCTCCAGGTCCACGTTCATCCAGGGGACATCGTGCCCTCCGGCATCAGGGGTTTGGAGTACTGGGGCCGGAGGTGGCTCCTCACGCTCTTCCTGCGGCATCTCTGTGATGGACGGTTGCAGCGCGGAGGTTCTGTCACGATCGGACACCAGGCTGTTGATGAAGCTGTCACTGGCAGGAATAAAAGGCTTGGGGGCATTCGTTTGGGGGGCTAAAGGAGCATCTTCTTTTTCCTGTGGAGGCGTAGGTGAGTCAGAGCCCCCTAAGGGGACTACAGAGGGTGCTTCTGCTTCTAAGAGGGGGGTGTTAGAAGTGCTGTTTTGAGGGTCGGCAGGACCCAACTCTGAGTCTGAATCAGTGCAGCTCAGAACGGAGCCCTGTGATGCCTCAGTCAACTGCCCGTTGAACTCACAGTCATCCCTGTTAAACAACACACATGCAAACACACACGCAATACTAAGCTTGAATGTGCACTGTACTTGCCAATTAAAATATGCAGTTAATTTATTTATGCACACCTGGGCGGAATAACCTCTTTACTATTGCCCCATTGGGCAGAAACAGGGATCCAGCCATTTCCACTTGGCTCAGATGGGGTGACACCTATTCTAAAATACAGGCCGCGGTCCTCACCGACCGCCCACACCTAACAGGAGAACAGAGAAAAAAAGCAAAACAAATGCTGTAACATAAAAAATAAAAGACGGCCATTGATGTACATGCAATATTTACTTATTGAGTTATTAAATAGTTTTCACTCTCAGTAATCGCAGGAAAGTATTCACTCCTCAATAACACATCAGAAGCTCTAGCAGGACACAGGCAAGTACTACTTTATAAGGCCATATACTGTAACACTGGCTCCTGCCACCTCACACAAGCCATTCCCATAATTGCAACCCTGAAATATGAAATATGGGATACGATGACAATGGCTTGGCCAGCTTCTAATTAGGGAGTCTTCCCCTATGTGAGGCGAGTAGGAATATAGTCTGGGGATATATAAGGCTGGGCCTGCTGGGACATTGGCTGGAACGTCTGGCTGTGCTCTTGTTACAGGACTACAGGCAAGAGAAGGAGGGGGACATGGGTGAGACCGAAAGGGAGGAGGTGCGAGATATGGGTTTGCAGAGCTAGCGAAGTCTTCAGCAGTAAGGCACAGGATCGAAAGCTTTCTGCCTCACCCTAAGACCTGATCTGGTTTGTCCTGAAACCAGATCCAGAGTGACAGTAACGCGAAGCAGACAGAGGTGGTAGCAGTCAGAAGTACAGAAGCTGTGCAGAGCAGGCACCATCTGCAGTAGAGTTTAAAAGACCCAAGCAGCAAGAAAGATCGAAGAAAATCTTATCCTTAATAGTTAAATTTCACCCACAGGCCCACTTCAGTGGCAACAGCTAACCTATTAAATCCACATTCTAAGCATTTGAGGAATATCTTTTCATATAAGCAGTATTATATTATAAAGTCGACTCGTTCAGCTGTTTATTCAAACTGATGATCCGCTGATGAAATGTTTCAGCTCTAAGCTGTCCTAACCTGGTCATTCAGTCCTACGTCCACCATCATCATCTCCCCTCCGATGCTGATCCAGCCAGAGCCACAGGGGTTGTGGGAGTTCACGCCACGCCTGAACCACACCTGGATTCACGCACCGACGTTGGGGTCATTACTCAAAAATGTATTTTAGTGCAGTAGCAGTAATTCAGTAATACAGTTTACTTCTTTTTAAATCAAAGCATTTGTTTCATTTCAGTCTCAAGAAAATTGCAGTGACGCTGTCAGTGGGCTACAATGCCCTAACATAACTGCAACTGACTAATAACCCACCTTGTAGTCCTTAGTGACCACCCAGACCACACTGACTCCTACAGCCACGTGAAGCGCTTCAATTTCCTTTCCCGGTGATTCCACCTCGAGCCACGACGTGCCTGACAGAAGAAGAAGAAAATGCTTTACAAACGCAGCACAAAGGCAAGCCTTCCTCATAATGAGGACGCCGTCATTACTGAGAAGCTTCCTGTTGAGTTCTCAAATCATCTAAACATGAACAAACCAGATGTGATGTTGATTTTTATCTTTAAAAGGGAGTGAGTCTTCCTAATTCGATACACACTCATATTTTTAAGTTTTTAAAAAAAAAAATGTTTACAATTTTTTGCCACTTTCATGCCTTTAAACCTTTACTTTTGATACCGACCAGTACTACATGTTGTATGTTTACTAAGACTGACAGTTGGAAATGCAATGAATTTCACTTACTACTTTCTAGATATGTCATATATCAGTGGGACTGTGTTATAATACTTTTACAAAAATGATCATAGCATTTAAACTGCATTATTAATGACTTTCAGAGCAGCTACATAATGATTCCTAACTGAAAGAGTCCCAAAATCACTGAGTGATTCTGTATGAGAGATTGTTGAAGTAAAGAAAAGGGGACCAGAGTGAGACATAATGGAAAATTGTTGAGTAAATGTGAGCTACAATGACAGCTCACCAGTGGGACTGTCCAGGCTCAGGCCAGTTCGCACCAGCAGGTTCCCATCCCAGAGCAAAGCCCACAGCAGGTCTCCAGGACCAGCTGATATCTGAGCCACCTCCTTGGGCACTTCAACTTCTTCCCAGCTGGTCCCTTCTGGCACACGAGGGTGGATACCCTCTCTGAACCACACCTGCAGGGTAAAGGTAACATCAGCAGATCATCATCTGACACACCCCTTCATTTAAAAAGACAGATCCATACCATGTTAGGTGGCTGAGCTCATTCTGGGATAGATAATAGAGCATCAATTTTAACTTGATTAATCATCAAGTTAGTCACGATTTAACTGGTTCATGAGAAGCCTCGTGGTCAAGGACCATATGAAACTATATGAAGTCATGCTGCCCTCTTGCGGCTAAACCTTAGAAGTGGCCTATGCTCAGCATGAGAGGATCCTGTTGCAACAGAATACATCATTAATCTTGAACTGTTTGATCTCATGAGATTTAAATGTGTTTGCGAATGTGCTTGATTAAAGCTTCCACAGCATTGTATTGAGGTTGTTGGTGGAGAAGCTTTACACTTCCCTGAACAACAGCAGAATGTTTTTAGAGCTCTTTAAACTTTTCAGGAATTTTCTGCACTGCCATAACCTCTTTTTTTAATCTTATGGTACGGTTATTCATTTTAATACACATTTATTATGATTACAGTAAATGGGTCCTACACACACATTGCTCACCTGTCCCTGTTGAGACACACTCCAGAGGTAGGGATACCTTCCGGACTGGTCGCTCATCTCCCAGCCACCACAGCTGATGTCACAGAGCGGCAGTGGAGGTTTCCTGGGATTGTCCAAGGGGATCTGCAGAGGAAGACAAGGCTACTGCGGTAATTCTTTTGCTTTGTCTCATAGTGAAAGTAACATGATCATATAGAAATACAGAATAAATGGAGACTTTTGAAACCTTTGCCCAAGTGCCCTGTGCTATGTATCTTCTGTAGCGGATCCACCGTCTACGACGGACACAAGAATTCCACTTTTTGTCAGGGGAGAAGTTGGCTGGGAAGTCAACAGCATACTCCCAGCCCTACAGAGTCCAAGGTAGTGAGCATGTGATTAAAACTGGAAGTATTTGTTTTAAATATGAATTCAATATTATGAGAAACAGAAGAACAGAGGAAAGACAGGAGGATGTAAACAATGGGTTTGTATGTGTTCACGAGGAGCTGAGTTATTTCTCACCCCAGTCTGGCTGGGTTCTCCTCCACAGGTGTGATCCACATACCAGTCTCCCTCCCACTCCCAGCTGCGGGAGGGCAGCTGGAAGCTGTGGAGTGGCTGGGGATTCATTCCGGTCACATCGCTCCATGGCCAACGGTCGGTGGGCAGCAGTGTGTCAGTAAAGCCATCCACTGGGTTCCACCTCTGAAAAAACAAACATAAAAAACAAAACACAAATTTAGCATTAATCATAAACAGCATCTCCATTTACAGCGTTAAAATATACAACCTTGTCCCACCTGGTTTTCATAGGTCTCCTCCCGGTAGTGGATCGGGGTCTCACTGGGCATCATATTGAGGTAAACATGGTGGTCACAGCCGATGCCCCAGCAGCGCCCCTTCCCTGCAGAGACACGTTTGAGCTCTAGCAGCGAGTCATCAGCACGTTCCCAGCGCTGGCCGGCTGTAGAAAGGCTGTACACTCTGCCGTACACGTCCACAGCCCACAGAAGTGTTATTGGCATGATGGTTCCTGAACAGGAACAAGAGGACAACACTCATCATTCCAAGCTGTGCCTTATATATTGTAAAACTCTCTGCTCATAGCATCGAAAAGCATCCCTCACAAATCACAAATGACTGCATTATTAAAAGTGTTTTATTTAAAAAAAAAAAAAATCATCAATAAATAAATAAGTGTCTAACATATTTTCAGGAGTTTTAGGTTTATATCTGTTACTCAAAAATAATAACATGCAGTTAGGTCTGTAAGTTTTTGGGCAATTACATATTTGTTGTAGTTTTGCCCCTGTATACCAACACTGTGGATTTAAATCAAGTAATCAAGATGTGATTGAAGTGCAGACTGTTTATTTGAATTCAAGGCATTTAACAAAATTAGGAATTAGAGTAATTTTTATAGATAGTCCCTCATTTTCAAGGGCTCAGTAGTAAGGAGACAATGCTCAATGCCAGATGAAAAACATGAGCAGATAAAAGATCTGGAGTTGATTTGAACCTGCTGTTTGAAATCTCAATATGAGGTCCAAAGAGATGCAAGTTTAGGCCATTGTTAGATTAAACAATGGATTAAAAGAAGAAAAAAGAAAAAAGATAAACCAATCAGAGTGATAGCAAACATTTTAGAATTGCCAAAATCAACAATCTGCTCCGTTCTTAAAAACTGGCCAGTCCTGAAAGGCCACAGATGATGGATGAAGTGGATGATGACAGAATTATTTCCATGGTAAAGAAAAACGACTTCACAACATCTAACCAAGTCTAACCAGTTTAAAACAGGGTGCACAACACTGGTTCCACTCCTGAACAAGGAAGCCAGATTAGACTTTGCCAGAAAAGAGGGCAGTGCTTCAAAGTGCAAATTAATACTAGTGGAAAATAAATATATTTACTTATATTCTTAAATGGTCACTTGACCTCAACCCAACAGAGCAGCTTGTCGGTCACTGAAGACAAAACTAAATGCAGAAAGACAAACAAACCAGCAGCGACTGAAGGAATCTGCAGTAAAGGCCTGCCAGAGCATCTCACAGGAGGAAACAAGGTATTTGGAGGTCAAGCAGTCATTGGCTGTAAAGGTTTTTCACCCAAGTGTTAAAAAACAGTCCTTATTAGTTTGTCCAGTTACGTCTGAGCCTCTGAAAATTGTGTACTATGTAGGGTATAAAAAAGCTGTATGTCCTAAACAGTTAATGCATTAATTTTACAGTGTAGAGTTTCAGCTGATTTAAAGCTGCACAGTCGTAATTGCTAGAGTTACCTGATGGTAAACAAAAACGTAATGGAGCCAACTAAACAGACTCAACTTTATCTTCTGTAAAAACAAACAAACAAACAAAAACGAGGAAGTCGACTTTTATATTGAAAAGTTTGACCGGAAGTCTTCCTTTTATGTTGGCTGGCTGGCTTGACCCTTGTGTTATCAACTGATACTAATCCGCTACAGTATACTATGTCAAGGCTATCCATTGAGCCGGGCCCTTTTGTTTGCCTCTCGCATAAACAGAAGTAAACAGAAGGAGCTCATCACATCAGCGTTTTTATTAACCTGCAGTTGTCCAGGCTGAACTTGTTATAGATGACAGACAGCAGTAAAGCTTTACGCAATCACACACAGGAGCTCCAGTAAATCCAGGATCAGAAACACTGCACGGGCTACCGCAGCAGCCTACCTGAATATTGGTATCCGATCCGCGGTCGTCAAGGGAATATCCACAGGCGCGTCATGACATCAGGTGCAGCAGCCGATGCCTGTCATCTCTGAGGCCCATGCTGGGACACATTCAAACCCCCATGTTATTAACAACAGACGGGATGTAACGCCTGCTATGCAGCATGATAACACAGTTGATATCTACTAAGATGTGCCGCAAAGTCGGGTATAAGCTGTTTACATCCTCAGGGAACAGGCAGCAGTCAGCTGGCGTCCCCCCCACAAAAAAAACCGTTCCAACTGTTACTTACGCATGAGGCTCCGTCACGCAGCAGCACCTCTGGGGAGAACAAATAAAGTCATCCATGCACACAGTAGTATTAAATTCACATTCTGGACCACAGGAATCCTCCGTGCAGCTTCCACTCCGCAACAGGAAATGGAGGAAGTGCTGCTATGATTGGTTGAAGCTCGGCAGGAGCGTGGGATCTCTTTCTCCCATTGGTCGAACACCAGAGCCCATGATATATTTTTTTCCGACCGCTGCAGCTGATCAGCAGGCATTTTTTAATAATTTATTCAGCGCCAGATGAATTATTGAAGCGCGAGCTTGATTACAGTTTGGAATATTTCGCCACAAACTCGAGTAACAAAAAATAACTTAACTTTTGAACCCGATGGGATATGTTAAAACCGGCTCAGCACCTTGGACAGGCGCACTTTGATCCACCTGATCTTCAGGAAACAGTAGAAGCTTTAGACAAAGTGGATGGCCAACCCTGGGACAGGCTCAACTCTGCACGATTTCAAAGACGTCCTCCTTTCTGGTTGTAAGAATGCTGAACAACACAGGGGCGTCTTTGGATGGAAAGGAAACCTGCAGAGCGTCAGTATTCCTGCCTGTGCCACCAACTTTGGACTGATCTACCGTCAGTGTTACAGACAGTCTTTACATCCGCCAACACCAGAGTAAAAATAGTTCCCTAAGTTCTACATTCAAAACATTACCGAATTGAGGTTGTAATATATCACAATTATCAAGCAACTGAAAAACTTTTTTCTTTCTTTGAATTACCTCAGTGGTTCCCAACCTGTGGATTGGGCCCACTGTGAGGAGACACAGGACAAAACTAAGGGATGTTAAGATGAGTAGGAAAAACTGAGAAAGAATATATTCATTTTGTGTGTGTGCATGTGTTGTTGTTGTTGTTGTTTATGTGAAAGTACTGATTTATTATTCAAACATACCTGAAAATAACTCATAGACTGAATCTGATAAATTAACAATTAATTAAAAGTAGCAACATTCTTTGCATGTACAGTTGTGGCCAAAAGTTTTGAGAATTACATAAATATTGGAAATTGGAAACGTTGCTGCTTAAGTTTTTATAATAGCAATTTACATATACTACAGAATGTTATGAAGAGTGATCAGATGAATTGCATACTCCTTCTTTGCCATGAAAATTAACTTAATCCCAATAAAACCTTTCCACTGCATTTCATTGCTGTCATCAAAGGACCCGCTGAGATCATTTCAGTAATCGTCTTGTTAACTCAGGTGAGAATGTTGACGAGCACAAGGAGGCTGGAGATCATTATGTCAGGCTGATTGGGTTAGAATGGCAGACCTGACATGTTAAAAGGAGGGTGTTGCTTGAAATCATTGTTCTTCCATTGTTAACCATGGTGACCTGCAAAGAACCGCGTGCAGCCATCATTGCGTTGCATAAAAATGGCTTCACAGGCAAGGATATTGTGGCTACTAAGATTGCACCTAAATCAACAATTTATAGGATCATCAAGAACTTCAAGGAAAGAGGTTCAATTCTTGTTAAGAAGACTTCAGGGTGTCCAACAAAATCCAGCAAGTGCCAGGATCGTCTCCTACAGAGGATTCAGCTGCGGGATCGGAATGCCACCAGTGCAGAGCTTGCTCAGGAATGGCAGCAAGCAGGTGTGAGTGCATCTGCACACACAGTGAGGCGAAGACTGTTGGAAGATGGCCTGGTGTCAAGAAGGGCAGCAAAGAAGCCACTTCTCTCCAAAAAAAAAAGGGACAGATTGATCTTCTGCAGAAAGTATGGTGAATAGACTGCTGAGGACTGGGGCAAAGTCATATTCTCCAATGAAGCCTCTTTCCGATTGTTTGGGGCATCTGGAAAAAGGCTTGTCCGGATAAGAAAAGATGAACACTACCATCAGTCCTGTGTCATGCCAAAAGTAAAGCATCCTGAGACCATTCATGTGTGGGGTTGCTTCTCATCCAAGGGAGTGGGCTCACTCACACTTTTGCCCCAAAACACAGCCATGAATAAAGAATGGTACCAAAACACCCTCCAACAGCAACTTCTTCCAACAATCCAACAACAGTTTGGTGAAGAACAATGCATTTACCAGCACGGTGGAGCACTGTGCCATAAGGCAAAAGTGATAACTACGTGGCTCGGGGAACAAAACGTTGAAATTTTGGGTCCATGGCCTGGAAACTCCCCAGATCTTAATCCCATTGAGAACTTGTGGTCAATCCTCAAGAGGTGGGTGGACAAACAAAAACCCACTAATTCTGACAAACTCCAGGAAGTGATCATGACAGAATGGGTTGCTATCAGTCAGGATTTGGCCCAGAAGTTGATTGAGAGCATGCCCAGTCGAATTGCAGAGGTCCCGAAAAAGAAGGGCCAACACTGCAAATACTGACTCTTTGCATAAATGTCATGTAATTGTCGATAAAAGCCTTTGAAATGTATGAAGTGCTTGTAATTATATTTCAGTACATCACAGAAACAACTGAAACAAAGATCTAAAAGCAGTTTAGCAGAAAACATTGTGAAAACTAATATTTGTGTCATTCTCAACTTTTGGCCGCGAATGTATTTTGGAACTAGTAAATGTGCCCATCTCTAAAGCACTTTGGGTATTTTGTTTTTAAAAATGTGCAACAAACTATAAATAAAATAGACATGACAGTGAACACAGAAAGGTTCAGACATTTTTCATAGTGCATGTTTGAGGTTTAGAGGATAGAAACAAGCATATCGATCCTATCGTGTTAGTATCAATCTGATACCAGTGCTGGTATTGGTATTAGTGATATTTAGGTTGATATGCCCACCTTTAATTAGCCTGGTACAAACAACAGCAACACACAGACAAATCACAAACACTGTAAGATTAACTGTACTAACAGCTCTTCCAAGCAGTGTCTGCCAATTTTTGATGGACGATTAACCTTTTGTGGTGTTTGGCTTTGTCTCCTTAGTTTTTCCTCTTCCTGCATGCTGTTTCCTGCATGAGGTTCAAACACTGTTACATTATAAACACCAAAACATGTCTGTGTCCACATTCCAACACATTTTCTCTCTGTTTTTGGTGAAACACTATATTTCCTCACACTCTACTGCAGCTGAAAATCAGGGGTAGGGAACCACAAACAAATAGCTTGCTAGGGTGACTCCTTACTGATTAGTTAGCAAGTTAGCAAAGAGATCCTCTGCTCAGAGAACTGCAGTAATTTTTGAGGAGAGACAAGATTTGGAAGATGATGAAGAGTTTTCACAAGTCCTTTTGTCTTTTTTGGATAAGACAGTGCAGACAGATGTGTCTGGCCTACTCACAATGGCCTTAAAATATGAATGAAAAATGAAGTTTGAGTTTTGATAAATTAGCAGGTTAAATGTGTTACATTCAGATATATTCATAGATGCTAATCTGGAAGTGCTTCTAAGCCTTCATCTGGTCAACTTGACTGTTTTATTAGACCGGACATGGTCAGAGTTGCTTTCCCCTCACCATCATTGTCAACAGCTTTCTTTGCTAATTTGTTGCATGAGTTTATAACTGATAAATCACTGAAACTGGTTTACTTGTGCAGATTCCAGCTGATATTAGAGCACTGAAAGCAGAGCCATCGGCAGCTTGCCTTGAACATTGCTCTCCCACAGGTTTACCATGAAAGAACAGAGGTTTATCCAATGCGCATGCGGAAACCACCAGACAAAAGCTTCTGGCCTCTCAGCTTTCCCAGCTCCAGTCATTGTTACCAGAAGATGGACACCACTGAAAATCAGAGAGGGCTACAGTTCCCTATGAGTAGAAAACAAGCCAGATTTCAACGACAATGGCCACAAGATGGCAGTAGAGTATAGACATAAACAGGCAAAGAGCTTCATGGAGGTGAGGTGCTGAGGAGCTGAGATGAAAGGAGGGAGTTTGCTTTATTAATGCATTTCTTTTAAAGATTTGCCCTGACATAGAGGACTCAAGTGCAAGAAGTATACATGTAACACACACACACACACACACAGTTTAATGGGGTCAATTTCTAGTCAATTTCTAATTCACTTCAAAGAAGTAAAGGCCTGTAGTGACCCCACACCTGCTTAATTTATATTTGGTCCATCCATATCCTGATTATGATTGACTCTTCCTTTGTTTTTGCTTTTCTCCATACTTGGTCACAAAACACAAGTAGCCCTCTTGTTCATAAATGTACTCGGGCAGAGTTAAATTCCAAATTATAAACCAATTAAAAATAAACAGCTGTTATGTATCTTTACATAAATGTCAAGGATGTACTGTGCAGCAGGCAGAGGTAGGACCCAAACATAGGACTCAGAGACAAGGGAATTAACTTAAGAAGGCATTTGCTGTGACACTGAACTCTATAAGAGGTACAAAGAAACACTAAAAGAAACAAACAAAGGAGAACTTCCGCTGAGATGAGAGAAAAAACTAATGTTAAGACAAGACCGATTAACCACAAGAGGAGACTAGACACTGATGGAGAGAAACTCAGAAATCACAAAGAGCTGAAGACTAACTAAAACATACTTAATACAAGGCGTAAAAATAACCATGAATATGAGAAGCACTGAAAATTCAAAAATAAACAGCATTCTGCCCACAAACTAGAAAACACTGGGTCATAGACCCCGTACAATAACAATAAATTATTATATGTGTGCTGATTCAGTAACACAGGAATGTGCACCATGGGCAACATAACAAAAGTATAAATACCACCCAAGAGTTGATGTTCCCATATAATATATTGATGCCCTTTGCTTACCAGGCATATGGTCACATGTGGCACCCACAATGCTAAACTTCAGGCTTCGAAACCCATTCTCAAAACTATCCTTTGCTACTTCCATATTGAATTTTCTTGCAATAACATTTTAGCACATACATTTTTTTTTAATAATCTGCTGATTATGACTGATTGCCATTGCCAGGAATTTGCTAGATCGTTTAGATTTCTTCAGCACTCCTGTCCTCTGATTAAAGATGTGAACTCAATATTATGCAACGCTAGGTACTAATAAGGGCAGCAGTTATGTAAGTCACGGAGTAAACAGGTCTGGCTCAGACTCTGAGGCATGGAAACAACAGCCAATATGATGCAAACCATCCCTGAATTATGAGCAGAATATCACCAAATATCAACTGGTACCAGCAGATAATCGCTCTCTTTCTGTCAGTAAACTGCAGGCACTGCAGTGAGCTGCATGCAGCAACACACACACGGCCTTTTATTTTTTTTATGCGCTGTCGCTTTAAGAAGCCTTTCACTGCGCAGAGGCGCTACAGCAGCTCATCACATGATTCTTCTCTTGTGACAATCCGAACAGACAGGAAAAGCCTTTCCGACTTCCCGCTGAGTTTTGCTGAGCTGCGATGACAGATGACTGTTGTTTTGGTATCAGAGGACCAACTTTAAGGAGGGAAATGGAGTTGAGTTAACCATTACCAGTCACACTCAGATCATTCCCGTCTCTGAACTGGACGTTTGGGGTTGTTGCGCCGCCCGGGGGACAAAGTTGGCGCATGGAGAGGGACGAAGTTTCATTTTTGCGCAGCGTATTTTCTTTTATTTTGTCGCCACTGAGTGCTAGCGAACCTCCCGTAGCAACGAACGCCAAGTAGTTCGGTTTCGACCCCCTTTGTGTGCATGTTTGTGTGGCTGATTTGAGGTCAGACAACGAGACAAGTTGAGGACACGTTACGTCGGGCGAGATGGTGGACAGCAAACCTCTTCTCCAGGACAGACCGCCCGCCTACAACGCCGTCCCGGGTGCTTACGACTACGGCCCGCAGCAGCAGCAGCACAACTATGGGGCCATCGCCGCTGCGGCCCCGCCGCCCTACGCGTACCCCGCTGGTCAAGGCAAGTAGTCCCAAGTATTTCCGTCGTTTCCACGGTTAAAGCGCACACCGGAAAGTAAAGTAACTAACAAAATGTTAACCCACTTCCTTTTATGGTTAAATGAAGTCTATTGTGGGCCTTTATATTCTATAAGTCTTTGTGCGCCACAGAGGTTTTTGGCTATAAAGGGAACTTTTCGTGAAACGTGAGAGACTTCGAGTTTCGTCAAAGACTAACCAGTTTCCTTCACAAGGCGCTCCAATGTTGCGCATGCGCTCTATGCGAAAAGATCTGGGTTAACCTGACTTTTTTCTCTCTTGTTTAAATTAGACAATATCCAGATTTAAAGGAGTAATAATAAACAAATGCTGAGCTGCACAACTAGTCAGCAAATCACCTTCGATTGATCATTTTTTTTCTTAATTTATTTGGAATCAAAATTATCTAAAGATGTGAAAGTTTTGACATCCAGAAATAATTCTTCTAGAGAGGAGGAGCTATGCTGTTGTATGTCTTTGTACTGCGTGACTGCTGTACATGAAGTACAGGCACTCATCACCTGACTGTGATTGTATAAGGGCGGCATTCGAGGAAGCAATCCTGTGCTTAAATCAAGTTCTTGTAATTGCACGAAGCTTCCTGTTTACTGAACCACATGTGTTTGGTCTTCTCAACAGAGAAACTAGTCTGTCTTTTAAGCTTTATGGCACAGTTATCATAAATCAGCGATATGTGTGTGTGTGTCTGTGTTTAGTTAAGCTTCAGTTTTCTCTGAATGGCAAACACTTCTGAGAATTCTGGGTATTGTGTCAAAGGTCATTGTCTCACTTTGTGGTCTGCAAAGTAAACATGGCTGAAGAGCGAAATCAGCAGCCCTCCAGTTAACACTCCTGTTGGTGCTCAGGGCAGTTTTATTGCAGTCTACGTCAGTAATATCTGATTGTGTTGTTCGTGGTAATAAACACGGCCTTTGACCTGCATGTGACTTGTCTCACCTGCTTCTTTTAATCTGCAGGTTACCCAGCAGCCCAGATGCCCCCTGCTGTATCCCAGCAGCCTTACCCTGGGACTTACGCCATCATCCAACCCTCTGTAGTGGTGGTGGGAGGCTGCCCTGCTTGCAGGTGAGGACACGGACGTGTTAGAGCGTGGATAAGGGAGATCTGATAAAAGCTGCTGTGTTGCTGGGTGAGATTCCTAGTTGTACACTGAGGAAGAAGACAGTAAAAAAAACCAGCTGGTCCACTGATTATTCCCCAGATTAGCATGTGGAGTGTCATGTGCTCACCGTGGTTAACCTGGTTTCTGAGAACGGTTCTTTTTGAGGCTCAGTTGTGGTCTGAATGCGCACGTCTTAAAACGTGTTTATCCCGGCGTGCGGTTATTTTGCATTTCTATTTTCACTGGTCTGACACATCTCCCACCAGGCCTGAAGTCTTATCTAACTTTAAGAAGATATGACTTTCAGTTACGGCTGACGGTTTTATGTTGTTTTCACTGTGACTGAGAGTCAGGTGACTTCAGCCTCAGACATGTGATGGAGGCAAAGGTGACTGAAGCGCATAGTTCACATGAATATCAAATGGAAATGAGATGGACTCTGAATTTGAATAATAAAATGTACTGTATTTCATTTCTAGGGACTTAATTGTATAGTTTTAAACTTCTCAAGTTCAACAGGATTATTTATAAATTATTACTAAAATGAGAACGCAGAGGTTTCTGAAAGCTGTTGTTACCAGTCTGTTACGGGAAGTGAGATCCACACATTTATTAAACATAATCTAGAAAAAGGAGAACAAAATAAAATTGGGTACTAACCTAAAACCAGCATGTGACTGAAATTAGAAATGACTGCAGCACAACCAAAAGAGGCGGCTATCTTGAAGGGAAAGCAGCTCATATAAGCTCCAAAAACAGGCAAAGTCATTTTCTTTTAATAGATAAATTCTTAAGTTTCTGACTCATTAGCAAATCAAATTCAAATCAGAATATTGCAAATAATAATAAAAAAGCAGTTCTGATGTGTTTTTTCTCAGCTTTCTCAGCTCTGCAACTTAGTGGAAGATGAAGTAATGTATTCATATTTCAAGGAGATTGTGGTGTTGATTGACTTAAGTAGCTAAAAATGCCATAAATACTTAACAATAACTAATTTTCTTCTTCACTTTTTTTTTTTTTCTATTGAAAGTTTCTCCACTTCCTAAAATCAGAATGACGCACAGCTGTGCGGCACTTTATCATTTAAAAGTCGACATACAACCAAACGTATTTAGTCTGCCAGCAGTATGTCGGACATTCGGAAGACTTTGAAAAACACTGGCGCAGTTTTAGTCAGCATTTGTGGCCATGTTGCTGGGGTCAGCGACGGCCCGTTTCCTGGTAGCAGTGTCCAAATAAGTTGTGCAAACACCCATGACATGGCACATCGCGCGAGAGGTCAAACGGAAATGCAAGTTACTTTATTTTAGGAGCAATATAAAGGTTAAACACAGTTCACTGTCGCAGCAGGATCCAGAATTAAGAGGGAGAGAAAGGTCTGTTTTTATTTAACTGAATCTGAGACTCTGAGAAGCTACTTCGGAAAGCACCTGCTTTCATTTCTTCAGAGACTAGCTGAACGCGCTGCAGGGCCTCCAGCTGATTTACTGGCCCCACTGGTCGGTGCAGTGCAGTCACGGGACCAGCTCGGTGTTTACTGTCACTCTGCATAAAAGCTCTTCTGCTTTCCCGTTTCTTCTATTTTTATAGATTGTCAATCTTTGTTTCTTCTTTTTTTCTTGTTATAAATCAAAGAGTCTAATAAGGGACGGCAATCTGACACTTTCTGTCTGATCGTTTGTTTCTAAGATTTTCCTTTGAGTTTATTAGTTATAATATTGAACCAGATGAGTAAAGAGCTTCTGTTTCAAGAATGAGGTCAGACGCCAACTGAACAGTTTCCTCTTGATGACCGTTTAGCCCAAAACATCAGGCGTTGCTCGTACGAGAGGTAATTGGAGAGAGACGAGAGTTCTGAAAAATGTTGTTTGACGCATGTGATGAAGGTCAGAACTCATCAGAAAATCCTCACAGAGGATAAAAAAATCAGATCGAGGCGTAGGTGTAGACTTGGCTGATGAGATAAATAAAATATTTTAAAGGCTGGAATCACTGCTTTGGCTCTTAATGTATGTTGTAGATAAATAAACAGAGGTCCCATCCAAACAGTCCTCACTAATGCTTTCTGGTGTGTGTGTGTGTCTGTGTTACAGAGTTGGTGTCCTCGAGGATGACTTCACTTGCCTGGGGATCCTGTGTGCCATCTTCTTCTTCCCCTTGGGTATCCTCTTCTGCTTTGCACTGCGTCAGAGAAGGTGTCCCAATTGTGGCGCCACCTTTGGCTAGGGGGACCAAACTACAGCTCTCACACGCTTCCCATGCATATACATACACAGAGATAATCTGGGATTTTCATTTTGTTTTCTTATCCTTTGTTAATATTGCACATTGCTGTTATGCCATTATGTTATATAAATATATGTATACGACAAATGACGTAGATATTACCATGATTTTCTATTAGAGGCATGTGTAGAAATGTGTTTTCATCCGCGAGCTGAGGATCTACTCTGACATGTGTCCAGCTGTTGTCAGTGCCTTCACTACATGCTGAGTGATCATTCGATTCCATCAGTCATGATTTCTTTCGATGATTTCGCTCTTTATCTGAGGATCTGAGCAGATTCCTTTGTTTTGCCAAGTCACATTTAATCAAGGCATATGTAGTTTTTGCCTGGCCCTTTTTTTGTGGGTTAACCTTGTGCTTAGTTCACATTGCACTCGAGATCTTTGATGAATTAGCTTTTTGTTTTTCTAGGAAGTTCTTTTGTTCCTTATTTGTATCACGTGGAATGACACAGAACATGTTGGAGATGAATATAAATCCCTGGATATAAAGTGTTCCAGCTGAAACCCGAATCAGTGGACTTGAATTAGTTTTGTCTGTTTCTGTTTGTTGATATCATTTCTTGGGGCCATATTTGCACTGAACGTTTGTTTTCTTTTTTTTTTTTCCTTTTCTGCTGAGTTGCGCTCTCCAGGGCCAATGCAGACCTCAGGTAGATATAATCTGAAATGCCCATGACTTTACAACCTCAATTGCGCAAGACTTCTTACTTTAAGAGGACACTCAAAGTCAAAGTGAAGACTACTCCTTTAAGAGTTACTTCAAGGAAGCATGCTGAATTTAAAAAACCGAAGCAATCTATCAATGTGTTTAACATCTGGATTTTCCCTCCGCGACAAGTCAACGTGCACCATTCCTCCCAGCCAGACAATCAAGAATGTTCACGTCTCTGTATCTGCAGTATCACCCTGTCTATGTCTTCCATCGCAGCAAGATGTTATAAAACTGTCCCCCGACAGAAGAAAAGGATCTATAACTGGATGGGAGGGATTTAAACAAATATATCTTGCTTTAGAAAACACACTACGCACGCTGTAATGATTGAGGTTCTTACTTTTTATATGTTATTGTAATTAAAAATGAATACTATCTATATTTTGGACTTCTTGCCTTCTTTTCCCCTCCCAGATAAATGAATGCAGATGAAAAAAAGCATTTAAAGTCACTTTTTTTCAGATCAACAAACAACAAACTGAAGAAATAGATCTTTATTTCCATACAGCAATTTCTGTTAAAGGGTGTAAATGGGTCAGGGGGAAAAGTGCACACACTGATGGTTTTGTGTAGTCAATGAAGCACTGACATCACAGATAATGTACGATGAGGTGATTGTAACATCTTGTATGGACAGTTTGAAGAATGCAACATTTCGCAGTAAGTATGAATGTGTTGTTAAGGCAGAAGTGCGGTCTCCACGCTCCCGTAGTTAAGCTAGATGGCTAAGGACAAAGCATCTTTTGTGCAAATGTATATACACAAGAGTAGTCACTGTACCACATCGTATCAATATTAAGCATAAACAATCATCTGGACCCGAGGTTGAAATGCAGAGGTCCTGTACAGTACTTTCTTCCACCATCCTATGGCAACAAATGATCTCTTAACAGTCATTTCTGTCAATGAACAAGCAACAACATAATTCCACTACTCTCTTTGACCGTTTTTATTCATTCATATCTTATGTGCAGGTCAGAATGTGGCAAGTATTTAACACCACAGAAGGGCAAAAATAGACATAGAAAATATATATGTTTCATAAATATATGTGGATCTGTTCAGTAAACAAAATGGTCCCAAAGTACTTCCATATCAGAGTTTATTTTCATCCAGATCAGAAGCTGCTGGACAGTAAGATGACACAGGAAGTTTGACAAGGGTTTGTGGGAGTTGAGTGTGGGTGGAAATGTGGACAGATCAGATGACTGGCGCGGAGCGGTCGTTGGTGACAGTTGGACGGAGCCTGACTGTGGCGAAAGGGTTCCCTCCCCTGTGAAAAATGCAGCAGATGATGATGAGTTTACGTCCGAGTGACAGAAAAGCAAATCATCTCGCTCATGTTCTTATGCGACTTACGCGAGGAAAGCTGGCGGGGGTCTTGCGGTGCCATTAGGCTGACTCGCCTGTGGAGGAGAAACAGACATGTATACTGTCACATGCGAATCACGAGCCCAACCAAACACAAAACCGTGACACATTTGCACTTTTAATGCCTCGGCGATTTATCGCCACGTTTGTATTTTACACTCGTTTGATTTCTAGGGGAATTTAACACATTTTCCACAGCTGAAGGATTGAACACACTGTACTGAAAACAATTTAATGCCTCATGTCACAAGACGGTGTATGGAACCTGGATCTGCTGGAAATTCAAGTCTGTAGCACAATGAACCGTGCTAAGTTTTCTTATGACAAGCCATGGTGAATGCAAGTGTCTTAACAGGTGCTCTGTGCCTGGAAGGGTTCACCCATAAACTCCTTTAACAGATTTATAGCTGAATCATTACTCGGATCTAATAAAAATTTGGATCCTTATTAGATACTAACATTTTTCGTAACATCACAAAACTCTTGGTTGCACATTTGTGACTTTGCATGAAAACAAACAACAAAAAAGTCATGATGATCACATTGGCAGTATAGAGAAAATGTACCTGAACCCCAGCTGCACAAATATTGTAAACACAAATGTTTATATGTTTTTAATAAGTTAAATGTGGTGACACATTTACTTACACTGCAGTTTGGAAAAAACAAAACGAAACCAAAACCTTTAAACAAAACTCCATGTTGGGTGAACAATTATGGGAATAACTACCTATTTTGTTGGCCCTGGAAGTGCCCTCTAAAATATACACAACAAAAATAATATATTTTCCATAGCCCCAAAAAGTGATAGGTTGTTTTAATAAATAAGATCATGTTACACTACACAATTTACTGCTCACTATAAAGTAAAGGTAGCAGTAGTAATTGAGTTATTGTTTTACACAATAGTGGTTTTATAAACTGTAGCTTGCTTTTGTTCGTCTTCCTGGTAACATCCACTGTCCCGGATTTAACGTGCCTTCTGGCCTTCAATCTGCAGTACTCAACAGACTCCGCAAGAGGTCAGTAGTGGACCGATTGAGCGACATTGCTGACCAGGGCGCTTCAGTCTTGACACTACCCATCTCATTTCCACAGAGGCCCAGGACTTCAAAAAGCCTTTATTTAAAAGAAAAGTAATAATTTATCCTCTAAATAAGATTCTGTGGAACTTCCCTTAAACCAGGTCCTGGATTAAGGTTTAATATATCCAGCACTAACACAGAGTCACAATATGCTAGCAGACAACACAGAGTTCAGTCAGCTATGAGTATCGACTTCCCTGATACTCTTACAGTTCAACTTTCTCTGTAGATCTCAATCTTTCAGATCATATTCTCGCTTTTTCTGCATCTACACTCTATTCATTACTATTAGTTGTCATCTTATCTCTCCCACACCCAAACAAACCAGTGAGGGTGCTTTTTTTAAACTGATAATGACAGAACATTCCAGAAATCCCACCTCCCCCTACATCTCTTGTCTTTTTCTCTCACCTTTCCTTGTCTAGACCAACCAACATCATTTAAAAACAGGCTTTGCTGATACAGACTCCAACCAGTTTGTTGACATCAAGCAAAAGAAAGAATGTGGAAATACAATCAGGCTTTAAGCCATGGTGCTATGTAAACAAAAAAAAAAAAAAAAAAAAAAGAAAAAAAAAAAAGAATTATGAACTAGCAGAGAGAAAAAAAATAACCCAAGAAAAACATCTAGTTTATACCAACAGTGCCAAGAAATTTATTCAGAGGTAATTACCTGAGATAACCACACAGACTGATGCAGTATGCATCATTATGGCAATAATATTCATGAATGTTCCAGCCCCAAGTTGCTAACTAACTTTACACGCATGCATAAACATGTGCGCACACCAACACACAACCTCAGCCGCCCACTTTTTCGCCGAGTATTATAATCTGCTGTAGCTGTAGAGAACTTTTTCCCATACGCGTGTCTATTCTGGGATCCTGCATATGTCTGTGTTTTAAAAAGTTATGGCAAGGGTTCGTGAGTCACTAGGAAGGAATAAACTTCCCTGGAAGTGAACCCTGTTTATCCTGGAACTGGTGGGAGACATGTAAAGCAGGAAGGAAAGGCACGAGGATGAAAAGATAAAGAGACAGATATGTGAGTGAAAGAATGAAGGAATTGACAATGAGGGATAGTGGATATCAGGTTCACCCAGAGTGGAATTCCACCATAATGCAGAGCCAGGATGTAGACTGATACAACTGACAATGGACACACACTAACATTTGGTCCCACTAGTGTAAGTCAGCCTGAGGCCCTGACCAGAGTGACTGGTTAATAATAAATGCAGGCAAGGAGGAGAAGAGTATCTCCATTTGCCACCTGACCTTTAAGTGGGTCAAACATCAACCTAACAGAATAGCCACGGCGACTGTGTTTATTTTGTTTGTGTTTTGTTTGCTTGCCTCATCTTCCATGTCCAGTTGTGGTCAGAAGTTACACACTCATCATGCGCATTAATGTCATGAACATTTTAGGCTTTTAATGATTTCTTTCAGCTGCTGGAACTGGTGGAATAGTTGTACAACATATTTGACAACTTTAAAAACAAGAGTTGGGTGAAAAAAAGCTGGGGTTTATTTTGGATCATCTCTAATCAACAGGCTCAAATCTATACATACACCCACTTCATCTTTTAATAAGTGATGGTGAAAGTTCTATGATAACTTGACATGGTTAAGGCGTATTAAGTTAGGGATTATGATTGACTACAACTGTTGTGTCTTTGGAGCATTACAAGAATTTGTTTGACAGCACTCATTAGATTGACCAATACTTGGAACAATGGGAAAAGCTAAGGACATCAAAACTGACTGAGAGGGTGCCGACCACGAAAGAAGCCTCTGCTCCAAAATCAAAAGCTTCAGGCTTGACTACCCACATGGACAAGCCAAATACTTCTGCAAAATGTTTTTATGATCAAAATTGAGCTATGTGGCCACAATAACAAATCTAAGATATCTGCACTTTGTGCTTCCAGAAAGACCTTCCCAATGGTTAAGGTCAGATAACTTATGGATGATGCATAAATGATGGGTCTTTGCCAGGAAATCAGTCTAAATAAATGCTACAAAGAAGAGTGGAAAAATATCTAATATCAGAATTATACAACCAAACACTTTTGATGGTCATTTTTAGAAAATCAAAAACACAAAACAAAGAAACCCAAGAAATGTGTTCACAGGTTTGAACTTAAGTCACT